TCCAGGCAGAAAAAAAATCTATTTTCCCCAAAAGTTGAAATGTACCCTAAAACACATGGTATCCCCATAAATGACATATCCACTGATAGCCCTGATCTGGGTGACCAACATATTCAAAAATCACCCAGATCGCTTCAGGGGTTTTCGAATTGTATGGAAGTCTCATTTCACTGACCGCACACGAGGCGTTGGAGTAACTAAATAACCTCCATTTGTCGAAATATACATAGGAATTTAGGAGAGAGCGCTGGTAACTTACAGTTGCAAGAAAAAGTATGTGAACCCTTATGGATTTCTGCACAAATTGGTCATAAAATGTGATCTGATCATCATCTAAGTCACAACAATAGACGATCACAGTCTGCTTAAACTAATAACACACAAAGAATGAAATGTTGCCATGTTTTTATTGAACACACCATGTAAACAATAACAGTGCAGGTGGAAAAAGTATGTGAACCCCTAGACTAATGACATCTCCAAGAGCTAATTGGAGTGAGATGTCAGCCAATTGGAGTCCAATCAATGAGAGGAGATTGGAGGTGTTGGTTACAGCTGCCCTGCCCTATAAAAACCACACACCAGTTCTGGGTTTGTTTTTCACAAGAAGCATTGCCTGATGTTAATGATGCCTCGCACAAAAGAGCTCTCAGAAGACCTACGATTAAGAATTGTTGACTTGCATAAAGCTGGAAAGGGTTACAAAAGTATTTCCAAAAGCCTTGCTGTTCATCAGTCCAAGGTAAGACAAAATGTCTATAATTGGAGAAAGTTCAGCACTGCTGCTACTCTCCCTAGGAGTGGCCATCCTGTAAAGATGACTTCAAGAGCACAGCGCAGACTGCTCAATGAGGTGAAGAAGAATCCTAGAGTGTCAGCTAAAGACTTACAAAAGTCACTGGCAAATGCTAACATCCCTGTTAGCGAATCTACAATACGTAAAACACTAAACAAGAATGGATTTCATGGGAGGATACCACAGAGGAAGCCACTGCTGTCCAAACAAAACATTGCTGCATGTTTACAGTTTGCACAAGAGCACCTGGATGTTCCACAGCAGTACTGGCAAAATATTCTGTGGACAGATGAAACCAAAGTTGAGTTGTTTGGAAGAAACACACAACACTATGTGTGGCGAAAAAAAGGCACAGCACACCAACATTAAAACCTCATCCCAACTGTGAAGTATGGTGGTGGGGGCATCATGGTTTGGGGCTGCTTTTCTGCATCAGGGCCTGGACGGATTGCTATCATCGAAGGAAAAATGAATTCCCAAGTTTATCAAGACATTTTGCAGGAGAACTTAAGGCCATCTGTCTACCAGCTGAAGCTCAACAGAAGATGGATGTTGCAACAGGACAATGACCCAAAGCATAGAAGTAAATCAACAACAGAATGGCTTAAACAGAAGAAAATACGCCTTCTGAAGTGGCCCAGTCAGAGTCCTGACCTCAACCCGATTGAGATGCTGTGACACGACCTCAAGAAAGCGATTCACACCAGACATCCCAAGAATATTGCTGAACTCAAACAGTTCTGTAAAGAGAAATGGTCAAGAATTACTCCTGACCGTTGTGCATGTCTGATCTGCAACTACAGGAAACGTTTGGTTGAAGTTATTGCTGCCAAAGGAGGTTTAACCAGTTATTAAATCCAAGGGTTCACATACTTTTTCCACCTGCACTGTGAATGTTTACATGGTGTGTTCAATAAAAACATGGCAACATTTCATTCTTTGTGTGTTATTAGTTTAAGCAGACTGTGATTGTCTATTGTTGTGACTTAGATGATGATCAGATCACATTTTATGACCAATTTGTGCAGAAATCCATATCATTCCAAAGGGTTCACATATTTTTTCTTGCAACTGTATATATTGAAACCCACAGTCAGAAATACATACCAATAAATAAGAGAAGAAAGTTAAGGCTCAGTTTGACGCCTTTGTTTCACAATAGAAGATAAAATATTGCAAACTATGAAATTATAAAGTAACTGTAAAGTATTGTAAAATAGTGCAGGCATGTTCTAAAATAAGTGCACCTCCTAATTCATAATACTCGTGTTTAGCAAAGATACTTTTTAAAGGAGACCCATGGAATAATACATTAAAAATCACACATAATTTGTGCAAACCTTTTTAATGTGAGACACCATTTTCTTTTAAATTTAGATGAAATATTGAGCAAATCACATCACAATTCAGTTCTGTCGAGGAACAGCCACAGCATACATTGCAAATGAAGGGGAGACATAGAACCAATGAATAGCAAGGAGATCATTTGTGTCCACATTGAAATTTATATTTTTACAGCTAACAAATACATATATGATAAATAAAGAGGATACGTAAACATAACATTCTGGAAAGTGACCGTTCCCTATATTTTCAATAATTTTATGGGTTCCATCTTTGCAATTGAAGAATAGGTTGCCAAGTTAAACTTGCATTGTCTTGGAGAAATATATTTCTGTTTACTTTATATTAAAGGAGAACTGCCACTTCACAGGACTTTTAATGTTATTTATAGGACATCTGATTTATGCTGGGACAGTTCCCCTTTACGCCAATGAATATTGGTTTGTACTTTTTCAAAGCCCTTTATCTAGCAACACGTTTATGATAAATGTACCTAAACTATAAATGTGCTTTGTAGATGGAGAAGAATGCGTGGCTGGCAAAGAATGCAATCCATGGATCATTAACCCAACGAAGTTGCGTAAGTCTGCCTTTTTTATTTTCTTCTTATGCTATCATGTACCACTCATCTTTATCTTCTGTTAAACCTCTTGTCTAATCTGTCACTTATAGAAAATCTAAGCTAGCTGATATGTATGTGTTTAATATTTACACGTACACTTTATTTAAAGGAGTCTCTTCTTTAAATCTATGACTTTCAGGATTATTTACTAAAGTGTGAATTTAAAGTGAATTTAATGTGAATTTCACTTTTCAAGGGAGAGTATAGCCACCTAGAACACTTCATCTCAATGTGCTCTGGGTGCCATGTCCACCCCCTGTTTTCACCCAGAAATTAAAAGGTTTTCATTGTAGGGTTTAAGTGCCTCTAGTGGAGGTGGTTCCGAGGAAATAGCACAGTAAACTTTATTTCTATGAGATGGTCACAGCCACAGAGTATGGTGCATCATGGGAGGCATGTGGGGGCAGGTCACCTAAACGGCCATCAGGAATAGTGTTAGGAATACACATTTGTATTCCTAACGCTATAGTGTTGCTTTGTACTGAACCTGTTGTTGAAAAATAAACTTCTATAAACCTGTTCCATTTGTTCTCTAATTGCCAAAAACTGTTTTTATTAAACTAACCTTCTATGGAGTTTTTAGGCATACTTACCTCCTCATAATGGATCTAGTGCCGTCATTAGCCTGCTTTTGTGGGTGTTATCCTTGCTCTTTGCACTGCCTCTGTTTGGGAAGCCTGTCATTGCTTGTCATCCCCATGTCACTCCATTACTCCTTACTTGTCCAGACACAGTCTTGGGTATGTGTGTGTACAGTGGCGGAACTACCGCGGTCGCAGGGGTCGCAGCTGTGACCCGGGGTTGCCCGCCGGTCAAGTAACGTGGCCCTGGCCCGAGCAATATAACAGCTGGGTACGCAATGAATTTCCAGGGGGCCCGGTCAGCGCTGCGGCGCTTTAACAGCATGACTGTGCTCCCTATGATGGCATCAGACACTGGGAGGAGGTGACTGCCCTGGTCACTTCCTCCTAGCAATCACCAGGAGCCGTGCAGGAGGAAGGAGAGGAGAAAGTCAGAGTGGGAACGCTGACTCCTATCAGATTGAGCCACCACTGAACCACAGGGAAAGTCACCCTCCTGCATTTAAAAGGTAGGAAACAGGAGGGTAACTAAACATTTTGTATATATGTCTGTATATGTGTGTGTTTGTATGTATGTGTTTGTTTGTGTGTCTGTATTAATGTTTCTCTGTATATGTGTATGTATGTGTATGTCTATCTGTGTGTGTATGTGTGTGTGTCTGTATTTGTGTGTGTGTGTGTGTGTGTCTTTGTGTATGTGTGTGTATGTCTGTCTGTGTGTCTGTGTGTGTGTGTGTGTTTGTATGTATGTGTATGTATGTATGTGTATGTGTGTTTGTATTTGTGTGTCTGTATGTATGTGTGCCTGTATGTGTGTCTGTGTTTATATGTGTCTCTGTATATGTGTGTGTCAGTTTTTCTGCATGTGTGGGAGGGAACGTATGGGAGGGGGATAGACTTATAGGGGTTGGTAGGGGGGAACGTATATGAGGGGGAGGATAGACGTATGGGGGGGTAGTGTGGGTAGACGTATGGGGGGGCCTCAGGGCAATTTTTGCACCGTGGCCCCGTTATTTCTAGTTACGCCTCGGTGTGTGGTGGGGGGAGAATGCTCTATATGTACTCTTGCTAAAAGATACCGACCAGACAGATGATGTGGGCGAAAGCTGGCAGGGAGAAAAGCCCACAGATAGCCTGCTGGCATGTACTATGGTAGACATACATCGACATAGAGTCTATGCAGACAATCTGTCTGCTTGAGTGGGAAGGGGAGTGTGATCTTAGCTGCTTTTTTGTAAGAATTGTATACATTTGCTAGTGATTTGGGTAGTACACTGTGTAGATTAAAACAGAAGAGGAATTCATTAATTATAAGTGTCCATGTTATGACAGGTACCATTTAAGGCCATAGTAGCCGAATTGACAGCATAGCAGATTTTTTCTAGTTTGGCTATTTTTGACCTTAGATTTGAAATTCACTTAGAATTCTCACTTAAGTAAATAACTCTGTGTGAGTTGATTGATGATCTCAGTTCACAAAATGTGATAATCCAACGCTAAGTTCTATATTGTTTTTGCGAGTCTGACTCAGACATTAACTGTACTGCATTTATATAAAACATATACTCACAGTTCTTTGAAGATAAAGATTCCGTTTAGCCTGGAATACAACACATTAATTTTCATATTGCTATCTGATTCACAGTGCCATCTCTCAATGGGACAGAGGGACCAGTCACACGTTGCACGCCGATATGAGATACAGAAACATCCCCAACACAAGAACATCTACGACCCTCCAAAATTAATGATCACGTAATATTATTGTGATTACATCTATGTAGTTTGGGTTTTACCATTCTCACCTCTCTTGCTACCTATTTTTCTTTACCATTACCACATCAAGCCTTTCTCACTAAATGTGTTCATAGATTTGTTAAATACCAGGGTTACTGTCAATAAAAGTATTTGAATGAAAATACCGGTACACACGCATTATATATCTGGATAAAACGCCGATGCCTTCACATAGCATTGTACATATGTCTCTTCCTCTAATACTTTACTGAAAAAGGCAGCTAACTCAGCGGCCTTATCTCACATAAGTCTGCAAAAGTGGAATAACCTTCAGGAAAATATATCTGACACCAGTCTACAATCCTGCAAACATCTTCTTCAATGTGTTGTAAATCAAAATTGAGTTGCAATTAAAATTGAAGTGTATTGATAAAAGGAGAATATTGCACAGTACATGTGCTATTGATAACAATAGGGGAAATAAAATCTCAGTGCATTCTTCCTGGCATGTAGTAAACATAGTTGTTTTTTTACTCAAGGACAGAGGTACTGAAGCTTCAGATCAAAGGGACTATTGCGGGCATTCTTCTCTTAACTACCTTGATGTAGTGGCTGGTGCTGTTAGGTTAGGTTTCTGTTCACAAACCTTAATTCACAATTCATTAAAGGAACACTATAGTGTTAGGAATACAATGCTGTATTCCCTGCTGATGTAAAGTGTTAAGAAAACTTTTTTCCATTAACCTGATTCCAGCACCGATTTCCCTCTGAGCTGGGCCAGGCTTGCCGACGTTAGCTGATGGGGGAACCTAATGTGAATGCGCTGTGAGTGCCGTTTGTGCATTAGTTCTTCCCCCAGAGGAAAGCATGAACTCAATGCTTTTCTGTGTTTTTTTTTTTTAAATGCTGGACATCCACATTTAAAGTGTGAGGACATCCATCGTTGTTTCACCGAGTCAAGGTCCATGAAACTGCAAGAAGCACAGCAAGAGGCAGTCTTAACACTCCAATACATTGCAGGGTTAAGGGAACAGCAACACTGCCACCAGACCCATTCAATGAGATGAAGTGGTCTGGGTGCTTACAGTGTTCTAAGACTGCCGAGGGATGTTCCTGTTCCTGCAGTAACCTTTACAGATGCCCGCCTAAAGGCCTTGAAGTCATGGCAGTAAAAAGCAACTGCTTACAAATTTCTCATATTTTCAATGAATAACCGAGCAAACAATAGAATACAATCTACACTTAGGTAACAATAGGTAAAAACAATATATATATATATGAGTTTTGATCTTATACTATATACTCCATATACACAAAGGTGTACAGAATACGTCATTTATTTTCCAGTCCTTTTTTTAATCATATCCTGGGATGAGTGGAAATCCTCAATAAAATGATAACATTCATAATACAATCAACCTCATCTTGATCTCTCAAATTACTGTTTTTAAGAAAAGAAATATACCATTTCTAGTTTTCTTTGAGTGCTGTAAAGTTCACCAACTATGCTTGCCAGTAAACAACCTTGGGGAAGGAAAAAGAACACTGATAAACATTATTCAATATTGTTCTGAATGCAATTGCAAGTTTAATGCGCCTGGCATTCGTTTACCGTGGGTGGTTTGTTCATATAATTGCGCCCTTATTTTCAGTGAGACCAAATTGTTGTTTTTCATGAATTTCCCTTTACCTCGGAAATTATTATATACCATTAGCTCTGATGATGATTACGCACTTAAACATTATAAAGGTTTCCATTATTTCCTAAAAAAAATGTTCTAGGCCAGAAAAGCCTCTAGTGACAGATGAGTTATGCCAGCGGAACGATCATCAAGAAAAACAAAGAGTTTCTTTTCTACAAGAGGTATGTACATTGTGTCTTTAATATCACTTGTCATATTGTCATTTAACAAAAAATGTAGGATGTCCCTATTTAAACGGTTACTCCCAGCTCGAAACCACTTCATGGCCACCTTAGTGATTTGAAGACAAATAAGCTCGTAGTTACACAGGGTACATTTGCTTGTGTGCAAGCAAATATGTATTTAAATCTTCAGTTATTCTGCTATAATTATATGGAGGCTATGGTCACCAGAACAACTTCAGCATATTGTATTTGTTCTGGAGAGACTGAGTATAGTCAGTCACTGCAGGCTTTTTTTGTTGTAAACACTGTGTTTTCAGAGAAAATGTAGTGTTTACATTTCAGCCTAGGGACACCTCCTGTGGCCACTCCTCAGATGGCCACTGGAGGTGCTTCCTGGGGCACAGTGCCTTTCCTCATAGATATGTGTTGAATCAAGATTTACAATTTAATTGTTGAGCTGAGCAATAAAAGATATTATAATATATATAATTGCTTACCCTTACTATACCAATATACAGGTCTTGATGTCCAGAGTGACATTTGGCCCCACCACGGCCCCACCTCCTTGGTATTCTCAGCCAATCCAATGCTTTTACTGTGAGAAAGCATTCGATTGGCTGAAATCATCAATTCTGATTATGTCATCTAAAGAGGTGGATTGGGGCAGGTACAATGCCAGGAGACCCATAGAAAGCTGGAAATAAGGTAAGTTTAAACGCTAAGGGAGGGGACAAGCCACCTAAATGTTGGTTATTGATTTTATAGTGTTCCTTTAAATATAAATGAATGTGTTGAATGTTGTGTGAGATTAAATTAACCCTAAACAAACGCAGCAGGCTTTGATGACTTTTGATGGAGGTCACAACTATTCAAAGACAAAAACAAAAATATTTTCATTGTTAAACCACAATATTCTTTCTGGAAAGCTACGTTCTCCTGTATTGACAGTGACATTCGTGAGTAAATTACATAACAAAAAATAGAACCATTAGTTATACATTTAACCCACTCCAAGTATGTAGGCTTCCATCTTTCATACTGGTTGTTTGTTGCAAATGGGACGATAAATCTTTTTGCATTTGGTTACAGTGTGAATGTTTACTGAGAGTAACAAAACGGCTAGGACTCTGACTTCCCTTGGCTCATCTGTCTAACACTGCTTTGCCCTGGCAGCTTGCTCAGGTTGAAGAAGAAAGAAGACAGCAGGAGAGAAAAAATCTGCTGGATGAGAACATAAAGCAAGAAGAAATCAGGGCGCAGTGGAGGAATTTGCATTATATAACACTCAATCAATGCCTAAGCAAGTAAGGAGCTTAAACAAGCAAAAAAACAACACGGTGGAAAATAATATTTCTTTACATATACTTATCAGTGGGCTCTCACTACCGTTTTATCTATTTTTGTCACTGTATTTTGTGTGTGGTTGGGTGACCTACACAAGGTGATAGTAGCACTTACTTTTAAACCTTTTACCTTTTTATATTTGTTAGAAAACAATATGTGCATTATAGTAAACCTTCTAAACAGACACTCCTAGCAAAAAAACTCTTATTGTCCTAGCATAGGTTACGGGTCAAAGGGGGTGCCATGAACTATTGAACCATTGTACTTAAGCAAAGACACTCTCTGTGGGATTTTGTAAAAATGTCCTGCTTTAAAAAAAAATGTACCACCCCCTGGTTAGCCCCCCATATTGAGAATTTTAACAAAAGATTATTCCATTTGTTAGATCTTTGTTAGATCAGATTTGATCAACAATTTTTTTCATTAGAGCTACTCTAAAATATGCGATATTAACAATCATTGTCAGGGGGGGCTAACCCGTAGCCAGCCCCCCCTCAACAAAAATTTGTAGAAAATGTTGTTGATTATGATAGCTCTATGTTAGATCAGGTTTGATCAGGAAAAATTTTTGTTAGATCTAGTCTAATTACTGAGATATTGCATAGATAATTAGGGGGGGCTGGCCCCCCTCAACTGAAATTTGGACAGAATGTTACTGATTTTGGTAGCTATTCGTTAGATCAGGTTTGATCAACTGTTTTTTTCGTTAGATCTATCACGCAAGAGGCGGTATTCACTACTTAACTTTGTGGGCGTGACTACGGGTTAGCCCCCCCTCAAGTGAAATTTTAATTTTCTTGTATTGATTTTGGTAGATATTCGTTAGATCAGGTAAGATCAACTGTTTTTTTCGTTAGATCTATCACGCAAGAGGCGGTATTCACTACTTAACTTTGTGGGCGTGACTATGGGTTAGCCCCTCCACAAGTGAAATTTGATTATTTTTTTTTTATTGATTTTGGTAGCTATTCGTTAGATCAGGTTTGATCAACAGTTTTTTTCGTTAGATCTATCACGCAAGAGGCGGTATTCACTACTTAACTTTGTGGGCGTAACTACGGGTTAGCCCACCTCAAGTGAAATTTGAAAAAAAAATTTATTGATTTTTGGTAGATATTTGTTAGATCAGGTAAGATCAACTGTTTTTTAGTTAGATCTATCACGCAAGAGCCGGTATTCACTACTTAACTTTATGGGCGTGACTATGGGTTAGCCCCTCCTCAACTGAAATTACATTTTTTTTAAATTGATTTTGGTAGCTATTCGTTAGATCAAGTAAGATCAACTTTTTTTTCCGTTAGATCTATCACGCAAGAGGCGGTATTCATTACTTAACTTTGTGGGGCGTGACTACGGGTTAGCCCCTCCTCAACTGAAATTACATTTTTTTTATTGATTTTGGTAGCTATTCGTTAGATCAAGTAAGATCAACTGTTTTTTTCCGTAAGATCTATCACGCAAAAGGCGGTATTCGCAATTTTATTTTAATTTTGCACATAAATACCAGTAAATTTTCATATCAAGCCACAGGTGACATCATAATTTAGGAATTTGCTTGGATTTGCTAACACAATGTGTAGATCATTTTCAATATTTTTTTTTATTCTCTACATGCACAGTATTGAGGTGATAAAGTTCAGCATATGCCCAGCCTAAACTTATTAGTGATATTTGAATACAGTTGCAAGAAAAAGTATGTGAGCCCTTTGGAATGATATGCATTTCTGCACAAATTGGTCATAAAATGTGATCTGATCATCATCTAAGTCACAACAATAGATAATCACAGTCTGCTTAAAGGACCACTCTAGGCACCCAGACCACTTCAGCTTAATGAAGTGGTCTGGGTGCCTGGTCCAGCTAGGGTTAACCCATTTTTTAATAAACATAGCAGTTTCAGAGAAACTGCTATGTTTATTAATGGGTTAAGCCTTCCCCCTATTCCCTCTAGTGGCTGTCTCATTGACAGCCACTAGAGGCGCTTGCGTGCTTCTCACTGTGATTTTCACAGTGAGAGCACGCAAGCGTCCATAGGAAAGCATTGTAAATGCTTTCCTATGCGACGGCTGAATGCGCGCGCAGCTCTTGCCGGCGTGCCCAGGAGGGATCGAGGGAGGAGAGGAGGCAGAGAGCTCCCGCGCTGGAAAAAGGTAAGTTTTTAACCCTTTCCCCTTTCAAGAGCTGGGCGGGAGGGGGACCCTGAGGGTGGGGGCACCCTCAGGGCACTATAGTGCCAGGAAAACGAGTATGTTTTCCTGGCACTATAGTGGTCCTTTAAACTAATAACACACAAAGAATGAAATGTTGCCATGTTTTTATTGAACACACCATATAAACATTCACAGTGCAGGTGGAAAAAGTATGTGAACCCCTAGACTAATGACATCTCCAAGAGCTAATTGGAGTGAGATGTCAACCAACTGGAGTCCAATCAATGAGATGAGATTGGAGGTGTTTGGGTAACTGTCTACTTGCTGGGGAGAAACTACTTGGATGCTGCATTTGTCTGGAACGATTCAAATCTACACCCGAACTGCACCTATAATCACTCAGGCTCAGCAGTTCAGGAGGAATAGGTGAACCGGGTATCTACTATATCCAGCGTTCGTAACATGAGTGACTTTAGCGATCCGTTAAGACTAGCATTTAGTTTGTACAACATGATTCCATTATCTGCTGGTTTTTCTCCCCAACAAGCAAACTTATTTTCAAGTTAATTTTCATCAGAATTATTCAACAGACACTGAATTTTAACAAATTAAGGCCTTGACTTAATATTGTCAGAAAAGCTTTGGAAAGATTTAATAATTGTAAAAGTTTATCCAAAAATATTAAATCATTTGAAAAGTTTATCAAACAATATTAAATCAAGGCCTAGATATAACTTGCAAATGTTGCTGCCCCAGATAGATTATCCAGTATCACAACTTAAATAGTTTAGTCTGCAATTCAAAATTATTTTCCTAAAATGTGGAGTTTAGTAAATCACCGTTAAATCTGAATGGCGAAGAGTACAAAATGAACTCACCCGGAACTTTAACGTCAAAATAGCCAAATCAAAAAAAAAAAAAATAGGTCTGTTCGGTTCACCTATTTTGTCCTAAAATGTTAAATTCACCTTGAATCTCTGTTTATTAAAATTTCTATGAATAATCCTGAATATCTTTACTTAGTTCTTTACTATGTTTAATGGATAGATTTTATTAAAGATCTCATTTTGTAAAACAACTATTCTCATAAAGTTTTGTATTTTGTCTCCTTTAGGCCCTGGGTTTCTAGTTATTTTAAGACCATACCAATGCGCATCTATTGTTTACCACTTGGGAGAAGACCTCAATCAGCGGCAAAGAAGTTACAACAACGATGAATCATATGAATATATCATGTCTGTTGATTTCTAACTACATGCAATTAAATAATGTCTGTTGAGTTCAATCTATGTGTAATTAAAGTGGTGCAATAAAGGGACACTGTAGTCACCAGAACAATTAATGTTTAACATAGTTGTTCAGAGAAAAGGTAGTGTTTACATTATTGCCTACGAACACCACTTGTGGTCACTCCAAATGGTGCTTTCTGTCTCCTTGGCGATCTCAGCCAATCCAATGATCTTCCTATGGGAAAGCATTGGATTGGCTGAGATCTTCAATTCTGACAATGTCAGCCAAGGAGGCGGATTGGGGGCAGGGCATTGGCGTACATACCGGGGTCGCGGCTGCGACCCGTTATGTATGCCAGTGTGGCCAGCCTCTTCTCCTGGGGGGCCCAGGAGTTGACCACCTCAGGGCCCCCCGAGGCTGGCCCTGGTATCACCGGGCGGGCAGGCTGGCGCGCGCGCGAGGGAGCACTGTCCCCTGAGTGCCCCCCTCTTCAGCTCCCTTCAGATGACGTCATATTCCGGCTCCAGCATCAGTACGCGGCGCGCAAGGGAGCTGTAGAGGGAGCACTCAGGGGACAGTGCTCCCTCGCGCGCCCGCCAGCCTGCCCGCCCGGTGACACCACTGGACCCCAGGGAATCCCCTCAGCACTCCAAACGGTAAGGATGCTGGGGGATTCAATTTAAAAAAAAAACATGTGTGTGTGTTAGTGTTAGTGTGTGTGTGTTTTAGTGTGTGTGTGTGTTAGTGTGTGTGTCTGCTAGTGAGTGTCAGTGAGTGTGTTACTGTGTGTGTCTTTTACTGAATGTGTTTGTGTGTGTCTGTTAGTGAGACTGTTTGATGTTTGGTAGTGAGTGTGTGTTTGTCAGTAAATGTGTGTGTCTGTTAGCTAGTGTGTAGTGTATGCGTCTGTTTGTGAGAGTGTGTGTGTGTCTTCAGCACTTACCTTTATCCTCCGCCTCTCCGCTCGGAATGCGCATGCGTGGCATTCAAACCGTCCATAGGAAAGCATTACTCAATGCTTTCCTATAGACGTTCAGTGTCTTAGAATCGCGGAAGCTCCTCTAGCGGCTGTCAATGAGACAGCCACTAGAGGCTGGATTAACCCTCAGTGAAACATAGCAGTTTCTCTGAAACTGCTATGTTTTCAGCTGCAGGGTTAAAACTAGAGGGACCTGGCACCCAGACCACTTCATTGAGCTGATGTGATCTGGGTGTCTGTAGTGGTCCTTTAAGTGTGTGTGCATCTGCATGCACTGGCGTACATACCGTGGTCGCAGGGGTCGCAGCCCTGCAACCAGGTGCCCGCTGCCATGTGTTGCAGCCCCAGCCCACGCAGAGTGCCCCACGGATCAGTTTTCGCACCATGGCCCTATGGTTCATGTTTATGCCACTGGGGCAGGGCCAATGCCGATGGACCAGTGCGGCGCTGTAAATAAGATAAGTTGTCTTACCTTTTAACCCCTTAAGGACCAAACTTCTGGAATAAAGGGGAATCATGACATGTAACACATGTCGTGTGTCCTTAAGGGGTTAAGGGGGGTAAGGAGGTGCAAGGTTTTAACACTTTAGGGTCAGAAATTTGTGTTTGTGTTCCAGACCCTATAGTGTTCCGTCAAATCCTAGTGGTTATGTTGCTTAGAATGACCCCTTTATCTTTATGCCAGACCACATTCTGCTCCCTACAACAGATAAATAAAACAAAAAATCAAAGTCAAACTTTAAAATACATATCTAGGAGCAGGGACTGACTAACATCATAAGTACCTGTAGGCACAGAATTTTCACATGCCCCCACGTCACTACTACCCTCCTTTCCAAGCTAATAAAAAAAGTACTTGGACTTTTAAATATGATAAAAAATTTTTAGATACACACACACATAAAGAGTGAGTGTGTATGTATGGCGTGTGCGCATGTTTAGCTGTGTGCATATCTGTGCGTATGTATTTGTGTCAGTTTTTATGTATAGTGTGTGTATTAGTGTGTGTGTGTGAGAGTGGGTAGCAGTGTGTTTATTGGAGTGTGTAAAAGTGTGGGTAGTAGCCGTATAAATTATTAGAACTTTAAATATAGAATAAAGCTACCCTATTTACCCCCAATGCTGGGTATAACTCACAAAAACATTAAATGGACACTATAAGCACCAAAACAACTTGAAGAAATTTTGGTGTATAGAGCATAACCCTGCAGTCATGAAAATGAGGAGGAAGGGAATGGAATCACCACTTGGATAATATACCCCTAGTTATTTTGAGTGCTTAGTCAATTAAGGGAGAAACTATAGTGTTGGAAAAACAAAGTTGTTTTCCTGGCACTATAGTTCCCTATGGTGCCCCCCTCCCTTGTGCCACAGACATGGTCCAGAATGGGTTAAGAACCCCTTCTGTCAGTTACCTGATTCCAGCGCCAATGTCCCGCTGAAATGGTTATGGTTCTGACATCAGGACAGGCTATAGTCTATAGGCATGCCTATGGGCATGTACCTACTCTGTCTTATGGGCAAGCACTAGCAGGCCCTGTCTAGGAGTGATCCTTATGCTTTTATTTATGACAAACCAGCTTTTTATGAATGAAAAACAGCTGGATGTTATCATTTGGCACCAATATCACTCAGGATACAAGAGAAACAAGCCAGATAGATAATATTGCATTCCACATTATTACAACAATAGTTCCTGAAAAGAATGATTTAATCATCTTACATTTCACCGAGAAATAATTATATAAATGCTAATTTAATATCACAGCGTTTCTTAAAATATAGTCTGACCAGATATAATAATAACAATTTTCCTTGGTATTTGTCTCCTTGTTCATGATTTAATTATACAGTACATAACACCCAACTTTTCAACTGGAGAAAGAGGGACACTGTAATTTTAGGGGTGTACGTGTGTGTGTAGATGCTCTGAGAAATGTTTAATGACTTACTAATAGCAATTTATGAATCTAAAATGTAATTTGGGACAAGAGCAATGTTTCATATTTACACAGACTGATTTCTAAACACATTTATTTTAGTTTAAGAAGACATTACTGTGACTATTTTTGTTGTGGAGCTTTGTTACACACGAAGACACACCAATAATATGCAGCTCCTAGAAAACAGGGATATCAGGGCAGAAATGGACAAAGGGATTTGGTGTGCTTTTGGCAGATGAATCTAAAGACTGACATCTCAAAAAAGTATGGTGCTACCTAGGAGTGAGTTCATGGGTGTGCCAAAGAGGGTGAACACGTTGCAGCGCACCCTGGCTCCTCACCTTTAATGTCTACAACGTCCGTGGATTATCTTTACATTCACGCAACCAGGTAGCTTCAGGAAGCTGACTGAGGAAGCCGTTTTTATCGGTGAAACGCGTTTTGGCTAAAAGTGGACCTATATTTAGACCACTCAATATATTTGTATTGTTCTTATATATGTTTTTTACTGTTTTTTCATCTGTTACTTTTCTAGTAAACAGTTTAAATATACTTTTTAAATATTACTTTTCTCTGTAATGAATAAATATAGTTTTTATACCCGTCAATTCAACTTTATCCCGCACAAGTGATTCCAGATAGGGGTAGTGTCACCCCATAAACAGACACTAGGCTTATATACTTAGAACAAGTTACCAAAAGGCTCTAAATAAGGTGAGCACTTTAAATTGTATTCATATTGGTAAAATCAGTATCTAAGGTACTACACTTAGATTGGAATATCTGTGTCTTTTTTCGTATGATGTGGAGAGGAACAAACACACTTTTTCCTTGAGAGAGGGGTCGTGTGATCTACCCTAAAAGACACAGACGTCTGGAAGTTTAGAGCCTTACAACTGTAAAAGGCTCTAAAAAATGTGAGTTCATTTAAATTTATAACTCACGTAATAATTCTTGGGACATTTTTTGATATACTGCACTATTATTTGCATATCTTTTCTATTTCCCTTATATGTACACTATAAAACAAAGTGTGATATAGAGGGTAAGTGCCTTTAAGCACTTTATACAAGACTCTACTTATTTCACATCTAGATATAGCGCTGCACTCCTAAAAACTGAAGATTTAAAGGGTATAAACACCTGCTAAATCTAAAGTTTTTTTTTGTCTGTTCTGGTGATCTTTTATGTGTGGTGGGTTAAAAGGCGTACCCACAAAGTGTATACAGCAGCTACAATTTATTCTGAAAACTATACGCTAAAATTATACAGCGCCACCATTTCCACATCCTTTGTGCGTATATCCGATTTTGAAAATGTGTCTAAAGTATTAAAGGGAATTTGGATAATATAGAGAAATTTATAATTATCACTAAAAAGTAAGAATTGAAATGGGTCAAGAAAATTATCAGACTCGGAATTCTAGAAAGTGGCCTAAAAAGTAAAAGTTAAACAAAAGAAAGATGCAAAAATATCCAAATGTTACATTCCCCTAGAGTGATAAAAGAGCAGTTCCCCAAAAGAAGCACAATAAATGGTATGAATAGGAGAAGGTCAACATCTACAAATGTCCCCTTTTTTGTATTGCTGCACATTACTGACACACGGACTAAAGAAACACTGTATCTGGACATGAAACTTGATGTTTAGAGCTTCTACACCTTTCCCTTGTGATTTTCTTTGCTGGCAGTCAGGTATTTTGCCTAGTTAAAAGGACACTATAGTCACCAGAACCACTACAGCATAATGTAGTGGTTCTGGTGTCTAAAGTCTCTGCAAACTTTTCAGTGTAAATGCTGCCTTTTCAGAGAAATTAGCTCGTCTATCATCATTATTGTGTCTGCTCCTTATTTATTGCATTATATTTGTTAAATGAAAAAAGAATGATTGCCTACCAAAGATGTGGAAAATCAACAAGGGAAAACTGAAAGCTGCTGATCATTTTTACCTACACATGAGCAAAACACATCTGCATTCCATTAGGATCACCCTGGGTTTTAAAGGCTCATTTTTGGGTCTTGAAAATTATTTAATGAATAAATGTTTATATAGGAGTGGTCAAACAGTAGACCTCGGCTACTGCAGATCAAAGCATTATTTGAAGTTCTGCAACAGCTGGGGATCTATTTCATTGCCACCCTTAGTTTCATAAAACACAGATTATGCACTACAAATATAACTGTGGATAATCAAAATGGCCTGCATGAAAACAAAATGTTTTCAATCAGATGGTAACCTACTTTAGAAGTGTGTATCTCCTGCTCTGTAAATTGAACTTTAATCACACACAGGAGGGTCCTGTAGGGTCTAGAAGGCTATTAACAGTGCAGGAGATAGGAAATTCTGAAATTAAACAGACTGTGCACTAAAGGAAGTGTAAACCTTAGGTCTCACTTGACAGCACGTGTTTAAAAAATTTGTGCAGGTTACATGCAGGGAGGCATGACTACGGCTGCATAAACAAAGTGATTTAACTCCTAAATGGCAGAGAATTGAGCAGTGAGACGGTAGGGGCACAATCTATACACCAGAACAGCTTCATTAAGCCAAAGTTGTTTTGATGATTATAATGTCGCTTTAACAAAAAATGCAGACTGGTAGAATTTGTCTAGTTCAAGGGAATATCTTAACTTCCCCTGTCAGTTCTAGCTTTAGTAAATAACCACTCAAGCTCTTTTTTTTTAACACAAAAATATCAATTTTTTTTTTATGGACTGGACTTTGGGTACACTTTAGACTAGTTCAAATAATTTTGTTGGATCTAACCATCGTTTTTTCCCCCCAGCATGACCCAAGTAAATGTTTTCAGTAAATAATTAAAAGGAACACTACCTCATTAAGATACATATAAAATATCTTTCATATACAGAATTTAATGAAAGGAAGTTTTATGCCTGAAAATACGGACATTCTTTCCAAAAAGCTGTGGAGAAAGCTGAATTGATGTTATGTCTGATAATGAAGTAATACAGACATTTCTTCTGGAGACTTAATGTTAACCTAAACATATCTAAGTTAGCCAATGACAGTGTTACATAAAAAAATACCTTAATGATCTTGAAACATTATTTAAAATGGTTCTGCAATCAGTAGATTGTAACTTATGCAACCCTTAAGGGCTCCGCAAATCTGAATCTATTTAAAGAGTCACGTTTGATAAAATTTTTCAGTTATGTGAATAAGCTGTCATATAACAGTCATTGCAATAAATTCTGTCCGTTGCTCCTGAAACTCGGGAATGAGAAGGCATATTGAGAAGAATCGAAATAGAAATCAAACAATGTTTCTGCTCTTCATTTGCAATCTTTGCCTTGTGAGAACTAGATTATGGTGTAATTTGCCAAATCTTTAATAGAAATGTAAAAGAAAACCGAATATCTCATGAAAACAATGTATATGTAATTATGAATTTGAAAAGTATCTAATTCTCAGGAGCACTTATTAACTTGTCTTATTAACTTGTGTTCTTGCTATGACTCATGCACGTGTATTCAAGATTTATATGCTGTGCCCAGATAAAATCCACTACACATACACTAGCCATACTAGTAACCCAAAACTATTTGGTGAAATGGACCTTGCATATTGTTCATTCTAGATTTAAGTATGCCTTTTTATTTTTCACAACATGTCTGCAAAAGTATTTAATATATAATTAGGAACCTGAATCTCTTTGTCACATGCATTGATGTTAGTCTTTTTTCTTCCTATTTCTGGCTCATTAAGGGATTTTCAAGCCATGTCTCATATGCTAAACACTGATAAGGATAAAGCAGGCACATGACTGAGTTCATATGACTGGTTAGTTATATTCGAAACAAATATACATACTTGGGAAATTTTCTGAACACTCTGCCCTAAGATCTCCTCTTCTAGGCACACAAAAATAGGAGTCACGATCCTGAACATATAATGTTTTGTTTTTCTATAGAACATTTCAGAATAAAAAATAATCATATTTTGAATGCGGTTTCAAAATGGCAATGCTTGGTGTTGTAGCTTAATCTAGAATACATTCAGTACACTCTCAACTGTTCAAAACCCTTAAAAAACCAAAGGTCTGTTTGGGTGCAGGAAGTGCCTCCAGTTGTATGCAGACTTAGTGCTGCAATGTAAATATTTTAGTTTCTCTTTAATTGCATATTTTTACATTGCAGCACTATGTGCAATAGGGACACTGCACCAATACCACTTTAATGAGCTAAAGTGGTCTGGGTGCCTATAATGTCCCTTTAATGGAGCAGTTTTTGTGTATAGATTATGTCTCTGAAGTTTTACTGCTGAATTATCTGACATTTAGGAGTTAAATCACTTTTGTATTTGTTTATGCAGTCCTAGCTACACCTCCCCTGGCTGTGACTGACACGTCCTACATGAAAAAAAATGGTTTCACTTTCAATAAGAGAGTAACATACTTTAAAAGGTTTTATCTAGTCCTCTCTTAACTGAATTTTAATCACATACAGGAGGCTCATGCAGTGCTGATCATGCAATTAACAGAGCAGGAAATAAGTGTAAACATTAGATGACTCTTTACAGGAAGTGTTTAGAAAGGCTTTGTAGGTCATGTGCAGGGAGGTGTGACTAGGGTTGCATAAACAACGTCATTTAACTCTTAAATGGCAGAGAATTGAGCAGTGAGACTGCAGGGACATGATCTATGCACCAAAATTACCATTAAAGGTTGTTCTGGTGACTACAGTGTCTCTTTAAAAGTAAATTATAGCTTTAACAGGAGGGGGGACCATGCCAAAAAGGGTTACAACAACCAAAAATGTGTTTAATTAAAACAATGTTTCTGGTTGGAACAGAATTAACCCGCTCCTTTTTTTTTTTTTAAGCCTAATATTTAGTACACTGGTACAGAAATTACATAATACAATTGTCTATACAATTTCCTTTTATTTCACGTGAGTAGTCATGTATTGTGAGGTATAAAAGGGTCATTTTATACGTTACGGTAATTTATTAAACTGGTGTGGGAATATAATATTTTAACCCCTTAAGGACCGAGGACGGTTCAGGACCGTCATCGGCATTTTTGCGTTGCCGACCGATGACGGTCCTGAACCGTCCTAACGGTCAGAGCTACTTACCTGATCGCCGTCGTTCCCCCGGCGGCGATCAGCGTGGCTCCGGTTGTGGGGAGACTGCCTGCAGCCCAGGCAGTCTCCCCACGGCAGATTAGGACCCCTGTGGCCATGTGATCGCTTAACACAGCGATCACATGGTCACAATAGGTGTCCATGTGTCTGCCTGCAGGGGGACTGTCTGTGCTGACAGGCAGTCTCCCTGCTAGTGTAAAATAAAAAAAAAATAAAAAAGTTAATGTTAATAAAAAATAAATAAATAATTATATATGTGTATATATGATATATAGACATATATTATATCTATATAATATGTCTATATATCATATATATATAATGTCATACTAAGTGTATTTTTATATTAATATGTACTTATATTAATATAAAAATACACTTATAATTAAATTACACACGTATATATATAATATATATAATAACTATATATATTGTATATATATTATTATAAAATATAAATAATAAGTAATTTAAATTAAATAAATTTTTTTTTAAATAATAATAAAAAATTTAAAAAAAATTATATAGCTATATGAAATTTTATTCTAACTGTATTTTAAAATTAATATATATATATTTATATCAAAATACACTTAGAATGAATTTGTATATATATCTATGTATATAAAAATAAATAAAAATAATAAGAAATATACATACGTCCATATACAAAATTACATAAATAATTATATAAATATACACGTAGACTTCAAATATATAAATATGCATATATATTTAAATTCTACGTGCGTATTTATGTAATATTTTTACATAATTCAGTAATTTTATTGATTGCAATTTGAGGGACCTGCCTGCCAACCCAGGCCAAAATTCCAGAGAATTTAATTTGCTAGCATTGTATTTTACCCTGTAACGTTCTACGACACCCTAAAACCTGTACATGGGGGGTACTGTTTTACTCGGGAGACTTCGCTGAACACAAATATTAGTGATTCAAAACAGTAAAACATATCACAGCGATGATATTGTCAGTGAAAGTTACTTTTTTTGCATTTTTCACACACAAACAGCACTTTTACTGATGATATAATTGTTTTGATACGTTTTCCAGTTTTTAAACACTAATATTTGTGTTCAGCGATGTCTCCCGAGTAAAACAGTACCCCCATGGTTTTATAGCATTTTTGAAAGTTACAAATTCAAATATATGGGTCAAATATTTTTACATTGAAAATGGCCAGGTTGGTTACGTTGCCTTTGAGAGCGAATGGTAGCCCAGGAATGAGAATTACCCCCATGATGGCATACCATTTGCAAAAGAAGACAACCCAAGGTATTACAAATGGGGTATGTCCAGTCTTTTTTAGTAACCACTTGGTCACAAACACTGGCCAAAATTAGCGTTCAATTTAGTTTTTTTACTTTTTTCACACACAAACAAATATGAATGCTTACTTTGGCCAGTGTTTTCGACTAAGTGGCTACTAAAAAAGACTGGACATACCCCATATTGAATACCCTGGGTTGTCTACTTTAAAAAAAATATGTACATGTGGGGTGTTATTCAGAGATTTATGACAGATAAGAGTGTTACAATGTCACTATTGATAAATTTAAAAAATGTATGTTTTGAAACCGCAATATCCTACTTGTACCTATAGCACTATAACATGCAAAAAAAAGCAAAAAAGCACGTAAACACTAGGTATTTTTAAACTCAGGACAAAATTTTGAATCTATTTAGCAGTTTTTTTCATTCGCTTTTGTAGATGAGTAAAAGATTTTTCAAGTAAAAGTCAAAAAACATGTATTTTTTTTCAATTTTTCATCAGATTTTTGTATTTTTTTTAAATTAAAATACATGAGATTATATAAATAATGGTATGTAAAGAAAGCCCCTTTTGTCCTAAAAAAAAAAACAATATATAATTTGTATGGGAACAGTAAATGAGAAAGCGGAAGATTACAGCCAAACACAAACACCACAAAAGTGTAAAAATATGCCTGGTCGCAAATGTACAACATCGCAAAAACAGTCCAGTCCTTAAGGGGTTAAACAAATTTTTCCACATTAAACTCAGAATGTTAGTGAATTTAAATTCATACAGCAAAATCTAAGCTAACATAATCATGCTCTGTAGTGAAGTTGGACAATTTTTTCAAATCAGATATTTTTACCTAAATTTCACCACATGGATTTCAATTAAAGGCACCACTATAGTGGTCCTATAGTAAAAAGGACCACTATAGGCACCGAGACCACTTCAGCTGGGTGCCAGTTCCCTCTAGTGTTAACCCTGCAGCTGAAAACATAGCAGTTTCAGAGAAACTGCTATGTTTCACTGAGGGTTAATCCAGCCTCTAGTGGCTGTCTCACTGACAGCCGCTAGAGGCGCTTCCGCGATTCTCACTGTGAAAATCACAGTAAGAAGACGCTGGATGTCCATAGGAAAGCATTTTGTGTTACTTAAAGGGATTCTCCAGTGCCATGAAAACATATTCTTTTTCCTGGAACTGCAGGACCCTCTAGTGCCCCTCTCCCTCCCACCCACCATCCCAAGTTGCTGAAGGGGTTAAAACCCCTTCAGTGACTTACCTGAACCCAGTGCCGATGTCCCTCAGCGAAGGGTCAGGCTCCGCCTACGCTCTTCCCCCACTGACATCAGCAATGGCCGGGCACTAGGCCTCCCCATAGGAAAGCATTATACAATGCTTTCCTATGGGGATTTCTGCGACGCTGGAGGTCCTCATATGGCGTGAGGACGTCCAGTGTCGTTTTAAAACACTTTTCGTTTTCTATGAACACCGAAGTCCCTCTAGTGTAGTGGTTCTCAACCCAGTCCTCAAGGGCCCCCTACCAGTTCAGGATTTAGGGATTACCCTGTTGTGTCTAAAGTGTCCCCCCACCTAAAAACACATTAGACACAGCAGGGTAATCCCTAAATCCCTGGTCAGTCCGAGAGTTGAGAACGAGTAGCTGATTAGACAGCCACTAGAGAAACAAACACTATAGTGCCAGGAAAACATACTGCTTTCCTGGCACTATAGGCTCAATGCCCCCACCAGGGGACCCCTGCCGACTCTGGAAAGGGGGTTTAAACTTACCTTTTCCAGCACTAGGCGGGAGCTCTCCTCCTCCGTTCCGCCCCGTGGCTGAATGCGCACGCGGCAAGAGCTGGCGCATTCAGCCGAGCATAGGAAAGCATTCATAATGCTTTCCTATAGATCGCTAGCGTGCTCTCACTGTGAAAATCACGGTGAGAAACACGCAGCAACTCTAGTGGCTGTCAATGAGACAGCTAGAAACTTTGGGGAAGAGCTTAACCCATTAATAAACATAGCAGTTTCTCTGAAACTGCTATGTTTAATAAAATAGGTTAACCCTAACTGAGACCTGGCACCCAGACCACTTCATTAAGCTGAAGTGAGTCAGGTGCCTAAAGTCAGTTTAACCCTGCAGATGTAAATATTGCAGTTTATGAAAACTGTAATTACACTTGCAGGGTTGAGTAGTGGGAGTTGGCACCCAGACCACTCACATGGGCAGAAGTGGTCTGGGTGCCTGGAGTCTCCCTTTAAATTACAAGCATTTAAAAACACTGTTAGCATTTTTGTTTTTTTTTGATAGACCACTAAACAGCAAACTGCAGTGAATGAAAAACAAATTTAACTAAATGGGGCAGATTCACTGAACTCCAATTATAGTGAATTAAAATCAGAATGCTAAAATGGAAGTTTAAATAGCTTATGATGAATTTTTGAATTCACAAAAAAATTAGATTTTAATGAAAAAGGGAAAAACAAAAAACTGTTCACTCTGGGTAGTTTCTGAAATAAAGAATCGTCAGCACAGGGGTTTGAACCCAGTCCTCATTACCCTAACAGTCCAGGATTTAGGGATTACTGCGTCTAAAAGTGTTTTTCTTTTTTCTCCTTAGACACAACTAAGATTTTCCCTAAATACTGGACAGTTAGGGGTACTTGAGGGACTGGGTTGGGAACCCCTACTAGAATGTAAGCTCATTTGAGGAGGGCCCCTCAAGCGCCTTTGTTCCTGCTTCGACTAGTCTTGTTGCCATTACGTGTCTGTTAGTCCACTTTGTACAGCTACAGAATATGTTGACCTTTATAAATAATAATAATATAACTGAACTGAAATCTGACCATATTTAAATCCATAACCGTAGCCTAATTTTTGCTATAGTTCGGATAGTAGTGTGGAAACCACCCAGCTACACCAAAATAGTAGAGAGTGAAATCAAAATGTAGATTTATTTTTGCCTAATTTGGATTTAAATTTCCTGTTACATGGATTCCTGTACTCTCTGTGGACCTCAGCCACTAAAACTCGCTGTTTAGTAGATAAAGCCCAGCCAGGCCAGCCCAGGCTGGGAAGCTGAGTTGAATTTGGTGTTTTAAGATGTGGCACATTGTGGTGTATAGGGGTAAACACCCAGAGGGCTCCATGTCCTCCCTCCATGGCCTGGGATTCCTGATTGAGAAGCAGTAGCCTCCCCTCCTCCTCCTCCCTCACACACAGCCTGAGAGGGGAGCCCTGTAGGGAGAGCGTGCACCCCCTCCTCCACGCCCCCCCAGCCCGCCTCCTCCTGCTCGCTAGGCCCCGGCAGTTCGCGCGCCGCTTCCTGGTTACCAGCTGCCGTTGTCAGGGGAGGGAGGAGAAGGAGAAGCAGAGAGAGAGAGAGGGGTCACGGCGGAGGGTCAAAGGGGAAAGGTCACCCACCCAGCATCCTCCGGGTTGGATACACAGCCATCTTGGTTCTGCGGGACAAGAAAATTCATGCGGTGAGTGTTTTATTAAGCGGTGCCCGGCCGCCGGCCCGCTCTCGGTCTCTGCCTGCGGCTCGGAGCCGGCCCCGCCGCCATGCCCGGGGAGCCCCGGAACCAGGGCCCGGTGTGAGGCTTCCCGGCGGCAGGTAGCCGGAGCGGCGGCATAGGCCCCGGGGCCAGTGGGGATGGCGGCTTTTGTCTGGTCTGTGGCCGCAGAGAGCGGCCAGGGCTCGGGGGGTGCAGGGGGATATGGGGGACACGGAGGACTGGGCCGCAGGCAGAGCCGGGGCTGGCGGGGACAGGGAGCTGGGGAGGCCGCACAGGCCTAAAGTGGGCTCACCGAGCTGGGCAGGCAGAATAATACAGACCGCAGGCATGGCAGGCGGGGATTCAGGCCTAGTCTGGGGGTACAGCCCTGTAGGGAGGACTGGGGGTTTAATGTGGGAGATCATAGCTGTGTGTTTATCAAGGCCCTGTCACCTCAATTCACTGCAAATCCTGACCATAAAGCTGCCTGTCACATATACAACCAGGGGGCCAGGCACTGGTAATTCATAGTATCTATCACAGGGCTCCCCCAGCTTAATGGACAGGGACCCATATTGTGTATATGGCATTCACTGGGCAATCCATTCCTTAACTCTTACATTAATTAATTAACTCAGGGAGCCAGTCTTTAAGTGTAATGTAATAGGCATTAAAATAAGTTTTGGGAGACACCTTGTTTAGACTCTTCACAGTGTCAGTAAGGAAGTAGAGAGTGCAGGAAAAATAAAAAGGTAATGTGTGTACCTGTCTGGGGGTCTGATAAGTGTTTGCTGAAATAGCATGGGGGCCCAATACTACTGGTATATTATGTTGGTAAAGCTCTCTTGCTTGTACCGCTTCCTGGTCCTGGGTTCATAAGGACAGGGGCTATGTATATTAAATAAATTTAAAAAAGCAGTGATGATTTTATGTAAACCCGGCAGGGATATCATGTCACAGATATCTTCTTTGTATCCAACATAAGAATGAAAAAAAATAAAAATTCAAAAAGTAAAAAAAAATTAGCAAGCTCTTTACTTCTTATTTTGTTGTATTATAAATCACGTACTGTGCCCATCAGAAGTCACTTTTTGGATTATAATCAGAATTCCATGAAAGTTTCAGCAATATTACAAAGGAGATCATTGTCAATAATCGCAGAATACACCTATGATTGCAGATAACGTTAAAGGCATGTCCCATGCTGGCCACAGGCAATTAGAAAACTTGTTTACTTGGTATTTTGTTGCACATTATTTGCAATAATCTGCAGTGGCATATAAAGTCAATAACACATCTTGGGCCTGCTCTTTATTGTGTTCCAGAATATTCTGCAGCACTGTGTTGTGAATAATTATCAAAAACTTTTTTTTTTTTTAATGGGGGATCACTTCCTAAAATAATACAAACTAAAAACCAGGTAGAAGTGCAAGGGGAGTGTTTTTAAAAGATGTAAAATGTATTGTCAACTGATGATACTAAGGGTGCTATTATTTTGTGTTACTGTCACTTTTTCATGTAAGCAAATCTGTTGATCATGAATTACACGGTGATCATTTGATCAATTTTAAAATCTGCGTTTTTTTAGATTCCATCTATAGTTTTCTAATTGTAGAATCCATGGCTCGCAGACTTTTAATTCAATATTAAACAACCTCTGTCTTTTGTACGAGTTAACATTTCAATTTACTGTTATGCCATATACACCTTGCCGTATTCCAAATAGAAAACAAGAAGATATTTTAAACATTTATCTTCCTGCTAAGTATTAAGAGTGAATGCATAATTCATGCAGAAAATGAATTTGAAGTTCAAAACCTCTTGTTCTGGCATAGATACAGTACATTAAAAGGGGGGAAACACAGCTATGGCTCTAGATATATTGCTAAAGATAGCATAATTTGGCATTAGTATTGCACTTCTGTTTTTTTTCAGTGACAAATCGTATAATACCACTTGACAAAAAGCACTGTACATTGAAAACAAATTTACATTCTGCATCTTTTAAGTATTTGGGCAGTATCAAAAGATTTGTTGTTTTTACTTTTTACTCCAGTTCTTTGGTTTTTAAATTAAATTATTACCGGGTACTACAAGCATACATTCTGGTTTACATCCAAATACTTTTAAGCATGTATGTTTTACAGTAATATCCTTAGCATGGTTCCTCCATGTTTTTAGTGAGTCAATAGCATTGGGCAATTAATACAATCTTAAAAGTGCTATATTTTTTTAGTTTGGTTCCAAATCCTTTGCATCTTTAGACAATGGGAAAATTATTCACCAAAATGATTATTGACCAGGCAGTTGCAAATATTACCAGATTCTTAATTTGGCCTTGCAGTTGAAATTCCATCTTCAAATCCTAACAATTCATCATTTTAATGAATAACCCTTTTATTCTTTATTTGTACTATGCCAGGTTTGTATAGTTTTCTGGCTATTTTCCGTCATTACGAATATGCTATACTAGCATTTACAGAATTTTAAAGGGACACTTTAGTCACCCAGACCACGTCAGCTCAATGAACTGGTCTGGGTGCCAGGTTCCCCAGGTTTTAACCCTTCTGATGTAAACGTAGCAGTTTCAGAGAAACTGCTATGTTTACATTGCAGGGTTAACCCAACCTCTCGTGGCTGCCTTCCTGACAGCCGCTAGAGGCCTTTCTGCGATGCTGAATGGGAAAATCGCATCCAGCGTGCAGAACGTCCATAGGAAAGCATTGAGAAATGCTTTCTTATGGACTGTTTGAATGCGTGCTCGGCTATGGCCGTGCATGCACATTCTGCTCCACTCGGGAGCTGACGTCGGCGAGGAGGAGAGGTCACCTGCGCCGAGGGAGCCCGGCGCTGGATTAAGGTAAGTGGCTTAAGGGGTTTTAACCCCCTTCAGTGCCAAGGGAGGGGGACCCTGAGAGATTGGGGGGGGTGGCGCTAATGATGAGTTTGTTCTCCTGACACTATAGTGATCCTTTAAATATATTATGGACAAAATAAAAAAAATGTGAAATTAGGCTTTATAAATAATTGTTTGCTTGCCTTAAAGGAGGGCTTGACAATTTTTGAAAATATTTTTATAATTTGTTTTCATAACAGAACTTTATTTTCAACGACAATAATAAAATTCTTAAAGGGAAAATTTATTTACCAGAACCACTGCTGCTTACTTGCGCATACATTTATTTACCAGAACCACTGCTGCTTACTTGCGCACACATTTACTGACAGGCACACACATTATCTCACACACTCACAAATTATTTGTTTTAATGCGATTTACGTCCACCTAGCCTCCTTAACTTTGGGAGAGCTGGAGTGGATCCTTTTCCCTGGGGTCGAGTGGAACTGCTGTGATCGTCTAATCTTCTTACTCTGCTCCTTTGTGTACCATATAGTGATGCCTGGGCCAGCATGACGTCATATCCCGGCATCATTGCAGGGCGCATAAATAAAATAAGGAAGATTACAGCTCTGGGGAGCTCTAAGGTGGCCAGTGCTTAAAGGACCACTCTAGGCACCCAGACCACTTCAGCTTAATGAAGTGGTCTGGGTGCCGGGTCCCTCTAGGATTACCCCCTTTTTTTTTTTTTATAAACATAGCAGTTTCAGAGAAACTATGTTTATAAATGGGTTAATCCAGCCTCTAGTGGCTGTCTCATTGACAGCCGCTAGAGGCGTTTGCGTGCCTCTCACTGTGAAAATCACAGTGAGAAGACGCCAGCGTCTATAGGAAAGCATTGTAAATGCTTTCCTATGAGACTGGCTGAATGCACGCGCAGCTCCTGCTGCACATGCGCATTCAACCGAAGAGGCGGAGAGGAGGGGGAGGGCTCCCCGCCCAGCGCTGGAGAAAGGTAAGATTTTAACCCCTTCCTTTCCCAGAGCCCGGCGGGAGGGGGACACTTAGGGTGGGGGCACTATAGTGGCAGGAAAAAGAGTGTGTTTTCCTGGCACTATAGTGGTTCTTTAATGAACTGACAAACAACCAGGATTTGACAAGCTCTGCCTTAAAGAATCACTCCAAACCCTATAAATCCTCTTGATTATGACATAGCTTATGGTGAAAAAAATCCCTGTCCATGTCTGTTGCAGCTAGATCCTTTCCGCTTGTCTGTTACATCAAGAATCCTAAAATCTATATAGCCAGGTCTCGACAAATCTCAGATGCCAGGTCGCTATGGCGATTAGGAATTTTGCCCTGACGTCTGGGTTTTCAGCCCATTTGGCTGATGCAGAATCTGCTCCTCCGTGGCGGCCAGCAGAGGGGAAATGCAGGCGACGTCAAGCAATGCAGGTGGGTGGCCGGCTCTTCCTGCTTTGCTACCTTGCGTGTCATGCTGTGATGCTTTTAGCCGGAATATGACGTCACTGCGGCCCCTGCATCACTAAATGGTGTGTGAGGAAGCAGAGCAAGAAGACCTTGAAGTTTTTAACAGTCGCACTGGACCCCAGAGAAAGGACCCACTGCAGGTAGGGAGGCTGTGTGGACTTAAATAATAAAAAAATAATTTGTGAGTGTGTGAGAGAATGTGTCACTGTGTGTTTGGCTGTCAGTAAGTGTGTTTAAGTGACTGCATTTCCGATCGTACGGAATCGCTGTGCTAGTCTTGCCTAGGCTGGCCCCACCTCCATTGTCGGGATAATCAATCTTGATCTCTGCCAAGCTGTTTATTTCCCATAGGAAAGCATTGGGAGGCTACTGTGCACCATAGAGATGCGTTGAACAAGTGTGTGTCTATGGGAGACATTTAGCACGTCCATGCAGAGCGTGGAGATGCTGACCGTAGGTGCATCACCCTATGCACCTCTAGTGGCAGTCTGAGTGACTGTCACCAGAGTTGTTACTGGGCAGCAGTGTAATACATTTTCTCTGAAATGGCATTGTTTACATTGCTCAGCCTGCAGGGATATGCTTTAGACACCAGAACCATGGCATTGGACCAAGCATGTGAGTGCACACACTTAAAATTATTTATATAGCACCAACATATTTTGCAGAGCTGTACAATAGTAAACAAACATTAATTTCTAACAATATGTAAGACATATGGGAATAGTGGGTGAAGAAGGCCCTTCCCAAATGAGCTTGCCCAATAGGAGTTGCAAAATGCATTGTGCATCTGGCTTTGGTCTCCTTAATATTTATAGTCTTAACAACTATGCCAGGAAAAAAAATACTTTTAGAACTTGGCTTACTTTAAAATAAAAAATGTAATTGATTTTTTGGGTTTGCGTCCCTTGTGCCAAATTCCTATCATAGGTACAGAAGACATTTTATTCAGGGGTGTATATTGCTGCTACATATCTGTACTCTATTCTTAGAGCTTTAACCCCTTAGGGACCAAACTTCTGGAATAAAAGGAAATCATGACATGTCACACGTCATGTGTCCTTACGGGGTTAAACGTATGGTTAAGACCTGGTGTAATTCTTTCCTTACGGTCACAGATATATGTTGCGCAGCTACAGTTTCAATAAGATACTACTATCAAACAGAATTGAGAGCAACAGGGAGTCTATGGCACATTCAAAGCTGAATTTCCTTGTGGCAGTGGTTATTGGGCGAATAGAAGTATTAAACCCTATAGTAAATCAAAAAAGAATTTGTGCATAACACATTTGTTGTTCTTCCCACGGGCATCTCTGTTGTAGTGACGAAGGCAGATTGATAAAGTAACATTATGTGTCTGATTGAGGACACTTCCCTAAGCAGGGCAATCCTTCCTTATGATGACATTATTGCCTTGGCGTCAGAATGGAATGACCTCAGCTATTCAATGTCTATATTTGTGCAGCAGTTGCTAGACATGCTCATTGGGAGTGTGCTACTCCTTGAGGAGAGCAGGAGAACCAACTGTTCGGAGAGTTCCACTATCATTCAATCTCTGCATAGACCTCTATGCCGAGAATGAATTGATAGGTTGACAAGAGGCCAGATTAAAATTTCCTAGCAGTACTACTTGGAGGGAATCAAGTGATCTTTAATATAAGCATACATCATGAGATTTAATTTATTTACTTGAGTGAGAATTCAGAGAATTTCAAATTTAATGTCAAAATAGCTGCTCTGGACTTAAATTTGACGTTCACTTTAATAAATATTCCTGTATATAACAGGACAGGTGCACTTTAAAGGACCACTATAGTGCCAGGAAAACAAACTAGTTTTCCTGGCACTATATAGTCCTTAGGTCCCCACCCCACCCTGCTGGGCTGAAGGGGGTTAAAACACCTTCAACCACTTACCTTAATCCACCGCCGGGCTTCCTCAGCGTTGGTGACCTCTCCTCCTCCTTCGTCAGCTCCGAGTGAAGCCGAATGCGCGGCCAGAGCCGATTTTCGCATTGAGCGTAGCGGAAGCGCCCTTTAGTGGCTGTCAGGAAGACATCCACTAGAGGCCGGATTAACCCTGCTATGTAAACATAGCAGTTTCCCTGATAGTATGTTTACAGCTGCAGGGTTAAAACCTGGGAGACTTGGCACCCAGACCACTATGTTGAGTTGAAGTGGTCTGGGTGACTACAGTGGTCATCATTGTGCATTCTCTTCAATTCTAAGTTTAGTTAAGAAGCATTATTGATTTTTTTTTTTTTTTTACGTCTATATACCATTTTTTTATATTATCTGCATGAAGTCGTCATTTTTAAAATGCAAGTTTTGACATCTAGAGCTGCTAAAATACAAAATGACTTATTTTAAAATTCCTTACATAGGGATAGAATACATCTTATTCCGGAATGCAGATTGTAGCTACTTTTTGTAAACTGTCAACATGTTGATACAGTGGTCATCTTTATGTATATCAGTGATAGTGTGTGTTCTCTGTAAGTATTGTTGGTTTGACTTGCATGTGTTTTGGAAGAACGTGTCAATTCCAAACATGTAAGCTAACTTTTTAAATATAACATTCCAGTACATTTTTTGGCAGTTTAACAAGCATAGTTTAGTTTATAGATACAATTGTGTCACAAGAAGGGGGACCTTGTCTTCTCATTATACAGGTTCCCTATCACAAGATGTTTTCTTCCAGACTCTGTTTGATTATACTGCATTTCTAATGCAAAAATGTAGAATAATGCTTAATAGAACATACACTAATTCTTATAACTAACCTGAGACCGTGTCAAACAAAGTGAGTTGGTTTTGGAATGGTCTTGTACAGGTGTGGCGAGAAACATTATTTGGATTTTTTACGAACGTGTGAAATTGTCAGGAATTCAATCTCCATTTTAATGTATAGGCCACGATAGTAGCAGCCGGCTATGTTTTCAGTTCTTCTGTTATGGCATACATTTGTGATTCACCTTGAATTCCTGACAGTGGCACTGTGAAAGTACTTCTCAACTGCATGAATAGTGAAGCTATATTAAAGCATTACTGAACTAGTCTAGCCTTAGAGAGTCTCTATATAATCATTTAGGCTGTTACAGTAATACGTCTCCATTCAGACTGCATTTCAGTGAGAACCACAGCGGCTTGCAACTTAGAGTACGTCTACCTTCTAAAAATGTTGGCTTTTATTAAGATGCAAATGTTTCTTTGAGTGTGTAGTGCCTTTTTCAGCAAGATTGGAAAGTCTTTTTTCTTTTCTTTTATTCAATTAAAAGAACATTGGTGCCTGGAGTCCCCTTGTATCCCCCAATGTAAGTAGTCAAACTGTTTTAGTCTGGTCCACCAGGCCCCGCTTCTTTCACCATAGCCAACAGATAACCAGCTTCTGCTTGAGAGTTTCTTTTAGTTCTCCTGAGCAAGCCCTGCAGTGCTGGGCTAGCTTGTTGGCTAAGAGTTTCAGCTGATCATCAACTTCCAGCTCATATGTATTTTTTATTTATTTATTTTTTATTTTTACGGTTTGACTGCTTACAATGAGGAAGGGGGTGACAGGGCACTAGTGAAACCACAACTAATGTGGTTATTTTATTAAAATTATTATTATTATTCCCCCCCTTCCCCCCATTGTTTTATTTAATTGTGTGAATCTAGATAAGTGACCATTCTTTAAAGATTTGAGCTGGCTCCATCTCAAACGTTGTCAATCCCTGTTAAAGAAGCGTAGTCCATTGAGCATTCAAGGAGTTATGCGCCGCTGATTTGCAAACACATTCTTATACTCCCATCCCACATTTTGCACTGAAGGACATAATTCATAGTTCTGTCAAATATATCATTTTTGAGATCATATTTAGTTTGCTTCTAGGAGCACCCAGGCAATATAACGTCCATTTAGACACTCATATTCATCTAAAACACTGATTAAAGAAGCACAAAAAAAGTTATACATTCCCACGAAGTGCAGTTTTGTATAATTCATGTAATTGGGTTTATTTACTAAACATCAAAATGTAGCAAATTGTAAACTATATATTTTTAAATGTAACCAACCCATGACTGTAATGTAGATTGGGATTTTTTTTTTGGCCTTAACTTTGCAGTTGACTTTTTGCAATAAACTTTATTTAGCTGTTTGCATGTTTGTGTATTCCTTCTATCTCCAGCTAGGTGCAGCTGCAGTAGCAGCTTAGAGAGTGCAAGAAGCTGCAAAGATCAAAAAGAGAGGGAGAGATTTAGCCGGCAGATGGTCTGCTGTGCAGTTATCAGGCTGTATTTGTCCAACATTGCAGACATGTCCAGACAGGACTTATTTACTTGTGGTGGCAAAAGTAAAACCATACTAATGTAGCAGTTGTACCTGTATTTCTCTTATTCAGAAACTAATATCTGGAAGCCATGATAACCTAGCTCCTGAGGTTGGTTAAGTCCTGGTTTGACCACATATTAGTATTTACCATACTTTTGGATGTTTATGTGAAACATGTATTGTGTACAGCATCAGAGGTGACCTAACCACACAACAATTTGAATGCATTTTTTATTTCAATGGTTTAACCTAAAAGATGATCGCCACCCCCCATAAACGTGCATCCTCTATTCCTTTGGGCGCTCTCCACTCCGGGAAGGTTTGCCTCACAGCCCAGTGATAGGCCGAGAGCGTTGGTTGATGCTCTTGGCCAATCAATGCGAGTAACTATTCTAATAGTACATACTGTTACTATGCCACTCTTAAGCTATCAGTGGCCACCAAGGCCAACCTTCTTGCGGTGGACGGTGACCAAAGGAAGAAACAGGAGGCAGAGCTCTCTTGCGCCATGGACAAACTTTGAGGTTATATCATTACAAAGTGGTTTAACCACTGAAGGTATGATCAGGTCTATGCACTCCTGTTCCCATAGCTTAGTTCAGGGCTTGACACATCTGCTTTGGAGCAATCTAAAAAAGTTAGGAGCCAGTTTTATTTAAACTTACAAACCTTTATTTTTCAACAAGAAAAATATAATTCTTAAAGGGACACTATAGTCTCCAGAACCACTACAGCTTAAATGTAGTTGTTCTGGTGTCTATAGCCTGTCCCTGCAATGTTTACATTGCTGCCTAGTGACGCCCCTAGTGGCAGTCACTCAGACAGCTACTAAAGTGCTTCCAATCTTAGTGATGCACAGTGTGCAGCACCTACATTCAGTGTCTCCACGCTCTGCATAGAGGTGCCGAATGTTCCCCATAGAGATGCGTTGATTCAACTAATCTGAATAAGGAGATGCTGACTGACGAAGCATTTTGCAGCGCATGCGCAATAGCCCCCAATACTTTCCTATGGGAAAGTATTGGATTGGCGAGATCATCAAGCTTGATTACTATAATAATGACCGTTCATAAAAGTGCCGATTTTTAAGACAAACTGTCACTTTTTTAAAAATAAATACCCCTTGGCTGTCATCCAGCCAGGGTGGTTTCTTCCTGCTTCCTTGGCTTCTCTGAGCTGACAGAAGTGACAGGCGCACTCTACTTGAGCCTGCCTCCCACCTCCCTCCCCCCCCACATACCTCAGTTCAGCATCCATTGACCTCCGATCAGAATGCTGTATGTGCGCGCTCAAGCCAAACATAAGAACTGCAGCTTTTGCAAACTGATTTAAGATGTATACCCCCAATTAATACATACGTGTAAATCTACTAAATAACGATTTCTATGTTTTTAGCCCATTTGGGCAGTGAAGTGAATTTAATTGTATCATCCAAAGTAAATCAGACAAACCGTGTGAACCATTTACCATCTAACATTGACCTAGTTTTAAATGATAGGTGTAACACATAGGATATACAGACATGGGTGCTAGTTGGTGCACATTCCAGCATGCCTGTGCTAAGAAACAAATGTTAATTTCTTTGTTGTAGATCTCTCAGCCTTCAAGAAGTTATAAGACAATTGCAAACAGGCACATAAGACATTCAAGGGGTCTTCACTGTGAACTTGAGTGACTGATTTGAATGGTCATTCGGTTACTTCTACTAGCTACATGGCAGGTGTGCTTTTCTTTTACACTTGTAGTAATATTGTGGCCATAGCATTGAACAGAGTAGTTTATGGTGGACATGTTCGTGTATACATCTTAAAGGGATCCTATAGTGCCAGGAAAACCTATATAGGGTTAATAGGACCCCCCCCTCTCGTTGGGCTGAAGGGGTTAAAACCCCTTCAGTCACTTACCTTAATCCAGCGTCCGGCTCCCTCGGCGCTGCTGACTTCTCCTCCCCTGCTGACGTCCGCATTCAAACCCGCATGCTTTCCTATGGGGATCTTATTTGACTGGACGTCCAGCGTCATTTCAGTGCGCGAAAGCGGCCTCTAGTGGCTGTCAGGGAGACAGCCACTATAGGCTGGATTAACTCTGTAAACACAGAAGTTTCTCTGAAATTGCTATGTTTTCAGTTGCAGAGTTAAAACTAGGGAGACCTGGCACTCAGACCATTTAATTGAGCTGAAGTGGTCTGGGTGCCTATAGTGGTCCTTTGAGATGCTGTAGTGACTTCAGTTTTATATGTACGGCTTCATAGACTTTACTTAGATCTGATATACACCATGGTCTGATTTGCAGGGCTACTAAACTCTAATATCTTTTTTTTTTTTTTCATTCCTGACCCAGGAATCAGTGTGTTTCCCCAGTAAACTGTAGTGTTTTGCAAAGAGGGTTTTGATCTGTTTTTTTAATTATTTATCTTTTATGTGAAAAGTTTGGCATTCTATTTCATATTTGATGTTTCTGGTTTAATCAAGACCTGATGGGAGGGTGATGATGACTATTATTTTTCTTCATAGCTTTTTAAAAAATATATATTTATTTGTTGCACTGAAGAGAGTTAATATGGACATAACTAAATAGTATTCTCGGCGTTCAAATAATCCTGGATTTTGTCAATGTCTTGAAATAAACATTATAATCATGTGTAGTGGTTTTATAAGGTTTTCCCAATTATCTCTTTTAACATTAAAGAGGTCAGATGCCATCTTTGCTAAGCTATCAGTTCCCTGATATTCCATAATTTTCTTTTCTGAAAATGATTCTTTATAGTTGCTGAGGTTTTTGTCTTTATAAAACTTTGTCTAACATTACATATAAAAAAAAAAGTGAAAATCTATTAAAGGAACACTATAGTCACCAGAACAACTACAGCTTATTGGATTTGTTCTGGTGAGTAGAATCATTACCTTCAGGCTTTTTGCTGTAAACACTGTCTTTTCAGAGAAAATGCAGTGTTTACATTACAGCCTAGTGATAACCTCACTGGCCACTCATCAGCTGTTAGAGATCCTTCCTGGGCCATGGCTGCCTAAAATGCATCAAAACATTCAGTATCTCTTCCCTCTGCATGCATACACTAAACTTTCCTCATTTTTCTCCAATTTTCATTGATTCAATTCATCTCAATGAGGAGATGCTGATTGGCCAGGGTTGTGTTTGAATTGTGCTGGCTCTGGCCCTCATCTGCCTCCTGGTCAGTCTCGGCCAATCCTATGGGGAAGCTTTGTGATTGGATCAGGCCACCACTTCTGATGATGTCAGCAGACAGCTTGTTTTTCTGATGCAAACAGCATGCATAGTTACAGCTTCAGGCTTAAATAAAAGTAAGATTTTAACCCTATAGGGTCAGGAATATATGTTTGTGTTCCTGACCCTATAGTGCTCCTTTAATATTTGGTAAGGTTTACATAACAATCGTGTATGTATGTATATGTATGTATGTATGTATGTATATATATATGTATGTATGTATGTGTATATATATATATATATGTATATGTATATGTATATGTATATATATATATATATATATATATATATATATATATTATAGTGTGTGTATATTTAATTGTCATTCTTTTTATTAAACAATATAGTAACATTACAATACAATGTCACTCGTTCTATTCATCAAACATTAGAAAGTGCTTGTGATACATAAATAAAAAACAAACAGATGATTACCATAAGAGGAACAAAGAAGTAAGGAATAGTAGCAACGTAGGGGAATAGCATTATTACAGAAGTATTTCAGTGAATTCAAGGATACCCATGGGTATATGGTAGTATACATTCTGTTTTATGTGTAAGGCATAAGAGTGTCACCTCCCCTGTCAGGTGTTACCATTCCACACACATCCACACAATCCATTAGAATGAACTGGTCAGGTATAATCGCAGAAATTTTTTCATAGTGTTCGTAGCTGAATGGGCTGCTTACTCTAGTTGCTTAAATTCTCTTAATTGTGATATGACCTGTGAGATTGTGGGGGAGTGTTGTGGTTTTCCAGAGTTCGACAATTAGTGATTTTAATGCTCTCAGATTTATACTCCCTACCTTGGATTGGCACATCGCTAGAGTAGCTGGCTAGTGTAATATTGGTATGTTCCTTAATGAACAGAGTGTAGCTTACCAAGATGTGTAGCTTAGTGCCCACCTTCCCACATCCCTGCCAACATAATTGGACTAACCCTTGTAAATATATCTGAGCTTATTAGGTGTTGTGTGCCATTTAAAAATAATTTTATTTAGTAGTTTGGTGTGATTAGTGCATCTTGTGACTTCCGTTGTCTGTCTGAATGCTATGGACCAGTCTTGGTCCAAAATGATGTGACCTAGTTCTTTTTCCAATCCCTTTTGAAAGGCAGTGCAATCTGTGTTTCCCCCAATTTGTGCTGCATGGTAACATGTTGAGATTAGCCCCCTGCTACCCTTAATGTGAAATATTTCCTGATTGAAAGGGGTCAATTGTGTTTGCATCATGTGTTTCCAATGGTTCTTGGATAAGTGTTTAATTTGTATATATCTATATTGGTCATCCATGTTGAGTTGAAGTTTTGCTGAGTTCTTTAAAGGATACTAAGTGTGAGTCTTTATATAGTAACCCAATATGTGATAGACCCTTTCTTGGCAATTCTTCCTTGTTAAAACCCTGTATCCAGTTATGTAGCGTTTGGATGGGATCAGTTCTGGATATTGGTGAGAGTTGCAGAATTTTTCTAGTGAGTGTGCCATGGACTAATAGAGTTCCCCCAGAATGGGAGCACACCACGCTGGACCACAGCATGTGAATCACTCTGTTTTGTGGTAGCACTGAGTCTTCCCACTGCAATGCCGTGTAGAACGCGCCATTGGTGCGGAGTATAGGGCCATAATAGCTGGGATAAAGGCCTCCAATTTCTGCCTTATGTACCCGTAATGTATTCAGTTAAATGCCTTCTCCGGATCCAGTGAGAGAAGAAGACACCTGACCTTGTTACGTGCAACCATATTCAGCACGTTTATCACCCGCCTAGTATTATCCGAGGTTTGGCTCCCCTTCACAAATCCCATCTGGTTGTAATCGACCAATTGTGGTAACATTTCTGTTAATCTATTAGCTAGCATCTTGCGTAAAGTTTGTAGTGTATATTAAAATGCGAGATTGGTCTTATCTATTTGGGGTCTTCCATGGTTTCGAGAGTGTGACTACATGCACCTTAAGCATCTCTGATGGCGTAGTGCCTGATTTCATACAGTGGTTAAAAAAAGTTCTTGAGATGTGGTAATAAAGAATAGATAGCTGTGTAGCCATCCTAGACTATTGATATTTCCTCAGTTTAGATATTAAGCTTGGGAGCCTTCACTGATTTGCGGCACTGAGTTTACATGAAAAAAGGATCTCCTCTGGCATTCTTGGACCTGAATGAAGGTTATATAGTGCACTGTAAAATTTTGTGCAGACATTAGCGATTTTGCACCATTATCGTCAAGTATGGCATAGATTTAAATGCTTCTTGTTTTCAAAATTTGTTACCCAGCATGTGGCCTGCTTTATTCCCATTTGAGTAAAATTTTGCTTTTAATAGTGTATGCAAACGTTCATTTTTTTCTTATTGGAGAGTGTGAAGCTCTTGGCTGAACTGTTTCTGTTGGGTCAGTACCTGAGAGGAAATGGTCGACTTGTGTACTAGTTGTGTTAACAACTAGAGAGTTTAGCCCACTTGATTATTATTTATTATTATTATTATTATTTTTTTTCAAGCACTTACGAACGGTGTACATCCTTGTTGACACAGATGTAATTGTGTTGGTGCAGCATAATCAAATTGTTTACACTTTTTCTTGCCTGTTTTCTGAGAGTTTTGAAGTAACACTGAAATTTTTTTTTTCTTTGTAAAAATGTGAAGTGGAACATTTCAATATCAAAAGCACTGTATACAACAGATATTACACAAAATGCAAGGTTAGCGTCAATTTAAGAGATTGTAAACATTAATCATGGCATCAACATTTTACAATGTCTATGCTGCAGTATCCCCTATTTATTAAAATAGGCATCGATAAGAATCCACTAGGTAGGCTCTATATATTATTCACTCGCTGGGTCTGGTAATGAACAGAAAATAAGAGGATAAACTAAATATTAAACAGACAAAAATTGGCATCTGAGCTGCCCATCTAAGCATTAGGTAGGTGGCATTTTCAGCTTGTGTCTTGGCAGGGAACGGTGCTACAGTACCGCCATAAAAAAAGAGCAGATTCGGCTAGAACCAATAAAGCAGTCTTTGTCAATGAGTGGAGCTTATGGGACTCTAATCACCAAATCACTTCATGTGCGTGCGCGCATAGATGCAGCTCCTACAGCTTTGTGAATTAGATAATGTTTTTCATCATGCTTGATTATTTCCTTGAATTAGGATCGTGCTGCAGTCTCTGTCGTGAAGCTGGAATAAGTCCATTTAATGGTGTTTATTTATTGATTTATTTTTTTTAAACAGGGGGCCAGGTAATCTAAAACAGTAAAAAGACACCTGATTTAAAAAAAAAAAAAAAAAAAAGCCTATTCTTACAAAATAAATAAAAATATATACATACACACTCTACAAGAAGATGGATACTCCACAGGACTTTTTTCAAAAAGTGTATTTTATCCTGAGAGAGGATGCATTCGAGTCTGAGACGATGATGCTTTAATTGCTACCTTCTGCAGATTGAACACACTTTTACTTTTGAAAAAAAGTCTGAGTGCCCATCTTCTTGTATTGTGTTGATTATATAGTGCCCGTTTTGGGGGCACACAGGCATTGACGTAAAAGAAGTGGATAGTGAGTGCTTTCATATTGGATGTTTTTATATATATATTTCTTGTGTTTTTTGCCCATGAAAGACCCCCTCAAAGCCCAGCTTGAGATATGCAGCTGCTGCATAACAGTAATTTGTTGTATTTGGACTGTGTGTATTGTGTAATATTTTTGATACCTAGCTATGTGCTCTCAGAAAGACTTCTTCAATGTCCAGAACTGGTGCCATGCTGATGAGACCTAAAAGGTTTCTGGTCACTGACCCTTTTGGATCATAGCCCATGTTTTGGTTTTAAAAAAACAACCCCCAAAAATAGGTTTAAAACTGTTTTCATTGCTAAAGGTATCTGCAGACATGCAAAATGTCATGCTGGGAACTCTGGGATAGCTGTGGAAACCATTTTTTGCGAGTTTCTATGCCCAAGCCTGACCCCTAAATGTCCAATTTGAGGTGTGTGTGTGCGCGTGTATGTGTTTATGTATATATATATATGTGTGTGTGTGTGTGTATGTATATGTATGTGTGTGTGTGTGTGTGTATATATATATATATATATAATATTTTGTGTGTGTGTGTACACATACACCCACACAGCAAAAAACAAAAATGTTATGGTGGGGAAAAATTGTGATTTAAAACCCCTTCCACCTGAAGTCTGTGGATAGTCAATACAGTGTTAAACACTTGCCTTTCCCACAGAAATCCCAAATTTTCAGTGATGTTACTACCGCAAAGGATTTTGGGTGGGCATATGCAAATTAGTTCAACAAAGAATCACATTTGAGTCTGTTTGCTGTAAACAGCTGGTGTGCAGATATTTGTGTGTGTATGTGTGTGTATATATATGTATATGTATGTGTATATGTGTATATATATATATATATATATATGTGTATATGTGTGTATATATATATATATATATATATATATATATATATATTATTTGTGTGTGTATATGCATATAAAAGGAAAGCATATAATTGTGAACAGAAAGGGTATTTAGATTAGTAGACCATGGCAGAAACTTGCACTATGTGGATTTATTCAGCATGTTACCAGGGAGTTGTAATATGTCTTAGTGTAATATTGTAGTGTTTATCACCAGCGTACGTTTTCTATCTGTGTATTAATTTATTCTCACCCTCCATTTTATGTTTTCCCGCCGTTTCTGTTCCAAGGTATGTTAATTGCGACCAGGAGTAGCAGTTTCATGTTACAGTTTTACAACTTTGCTTGTTGTGTTAGTAGTTATGTTCTGTTCATTATACAGCAGTAAAGATTTCTGTCTTACCACACTTCCAGTGCTAGCATATATGAATTGCACACTTTGCAGGATGTGATCCCTTATTTTCTCAGACTCTGCAGTCTTATTCAGTATATGTAAAATGTTTGTATATTTATAGGTGTTGATACTTTGAGTTAGTAGCTGAACTGGATATGGTGGCACATGTATTTGATCTCCTTTAGCATGGATTAGATTAATCACCTCATTCATTTAGACAATGCAGAGACACCTGGAAAGGGAAAAAGCATGTTAATATATGCCTATGGAACACAACATAAAATTATAAAGATACTTAGAAATTATTACTATTATATAGAACTTTGTTACCTGTATTGCAGAATTCTTCAGGGATACAATCCAAGTAAAGAATGGGTTCTGGTTTATTTTAAACAGGCTACTTTTGCTGTTAGAATTACATTGTAAATGATTGGTTTTCATGTATTGGTGATGCAGCTGCACATGTGTCCAGCGTAGAGCTTTTAGATATGACCAGTCACAGGCAATAGGCATTGCAGCCTCCTTATTTCTAGTATAATAGCAAATTATCTGTGACAAGCACTGGGTGTGTTTGACAGCATCATGCTATGCGTGATGATGCCAACTGTGAAGAAAATTATCAAAAGACTTGAAAAGTAAGAGCATTTAGTAGGGGGATTTTCTGTGTAATGTGCACTACTAAAAGGGTCCCCTGCCCCCTTGATTTGCATTAAAACCCGAAAACCCTACACACATTTTACTCACCTTGAATCTAGCTTCACAGGGTCTTCATGTGGTCCAATCACATGCTCACCATAGATAATACAACTAGCCCCCAACACAAAATTAACCATGAATCCGTATATACAGTGATTCAAGCTAAACACTGCACATACATACTTCTACCACAATTAACACTTCACATCACTGAAGTGATCATGGTGGTTGGAGTAATCCTTTAATGGAGTGGTTTTGGTGTGTAAACTATGCCTCTTAACTGATCAGTTCTCTGCCATCTAAGAGTTAATTCACTTTGTTTATGCAGCCCTAAACACACCTCCCCTGTATGTGACCTACACAGTCTCCCTATACATTTCCTGTAAATTGAGATCTAATTTTTAAACTTTATTTCACAGTCTGTTTAATTTAGAATGCTTTTCTTTTTGCTTGTTTATAGTCTGCTAGTACCTGCAGGATTTAAGGTTTAACAGAGCAAGAGATAAAAACTTCTAAAGTACACTTTGTCACATCTGAAAATTTTAACTTTTTTTTTTTGTAAGGTAATCTTAGGGAATCTGTTAGGGGAGGTGTGACTAGGAACTCATAAACAGAACAAAAGTGATTTAATTCATAAACGGCAGATACTTGAGCAGTGAGACTGCAACAGTACTGTGCTAAAACAAGATCTTGAAGTCACTTGGTGTGCCAATCCTATTTTGTTAAAATTGAGAAGTGTATGTTGCCGTATTCAGCTTGTTACTTATGGTTGCAGTAGTTGCTTTGTAGCATTGTATTTGTGCGTAAATGCGCTGTGATATTGCACATGTTCAAGAGTAGTTTGTGGTATTGTATGTGATACCTATGAATGTGGGCTGTGTATAAGAGCTACTTGTGGAATTGTGTGGATGATATCACATAGTGTATGTGGTTGTCTGTATGTATGGTGCTGCTTGTAGGGTTCTATGTGTGTATGTAGATTGTCAGTGGTGTTGTGTTTGTAGACTGTGTGTGTGTGGGCTGTTTTTATTATTTGTATGACGGGGAGGTTTATACTGCAGCTCTGCGTTTATCTAAACATGTGGGTATGCCTTCCCTGGGGTCCATTGGAGACTGAGCTGGCCAAGTACAGGTCAAGGGCAGGAGCTGTGAAAGCTGCTGTGGGCTGTTCTACTTCAGTGCGGATTCCTATTTACAAGTCCTGAGAGGAAGTGATCTGAGATCTCTTCTAAATGCTGCAATGCGTACCACCACTTTTTGCAGATATCTGAAGTTTCACTGGGACTCCTGATGGACCGCAGCCTTGAGTGACATAGGTTGCTCATCCCGGATCTATACACCAAGACGGTTTCATAATGACAGAATAATAGGAGGCAAGGTTGCTCTTGGCACAAGATGACTAGGGTAAGAGCATTATAGTGGTCTGTCATCCCTAAATCATAAGAATGACAAGTTCACATTTGGATGGGTATAGATGGAATTGATACTTTACTGGAACAATTGCCTGCAAGTGTGTAGATTAAAAGATGGACAGATCTGAAATTTGCTCCATCCGCATACAGAGTGGTACCGTGGAATAAATGTAAGGCTATGAAAGCAGCCGCCATGTCCACAAATAATGAGATTGGCTGTCTACAATGCTTAGCATTCTACTATACAGAGGTTGTAGAGTGCCACTTCATTACTCCAACAAGTTACATTGTATTATTTCTGCAATGCCATCAGCATTATTGTAAAGGCCCTGAAGGTCAGAATTATGTTTAGTTAACTTAATTTTCATCTCTTTATTTGCTAGCAATGCATATTGACTTTCGCAATCTAAAGATACAATTTTACTTTGTTCAAAATGACACCAGGTCATGTTAATCAGGCAGATCAACTATACAATTATTAAAGGAACAATCCAAGCATCTTAAAAGCTAGAGCTAGGTGTAGTGCTGGCAGCATAACACCCCCTTCACTCAAATGTTAGAGACCTAAAAGTTCCTGAGCAGGAACTTTTGTCTGCTCTCCTAAGTGCAGGGTGTAGCTCATTGTCTGAGGGTGATCAGCTGACTCACTATACCTGTTTTTTCTTCTATCATCTTCTTCAAATTCCCATATCCTTCTTTTCATTTTCATCAGGCCTGATTATGCTCTGTCATTTCCACAGTCCATTAATTACCAAGATTTTACTATTTTCGCCCTCTTGTCTATCTCACATGGCATTTTACTATTCCGGAACATATTTTCCACATTACAATTTATTTTATGTTCTAGATAGTGATTCTCGTAGCAGTACTATAACTTGTGTATATGTATGTATATATTTTAATATACCATAAATGTCTTTTTACAATGAAACACCTTTGATCGTTTTTTGTTTTTTTACACAAAAAATGCTGGAGAAAATGCCAAATTTAATAGGGAATTCCCATAGTTAATAGCATCTACCGCAGCTACATACACCACAATATTAGAAACTGGTTTAACTAGTACATCCACAGTATTTCTTAGTACTTACCCGAACGTCACCGTTCCCCCACTGGCGATCAGTGTTGCTCACGGTCTGGGGGGGACTGCCTGACAGTCCAGACAATCCCCCACTCAGCAAATTAGGCCCCCACAGGCCATGTAATTGCTATGAAAGAGCATTTTTAACACACAAATATAAATGCTAACTTTAGCCAGTGTTTGTGACTAAGTGGCTACTAAGACTGGACATACCCCATGTTGAATACCCTGGGTTGTCTTCTTTAAAAAATAAATATTTACCTGTGAGGTGTGATTCAGAGATTTATGACAGATAACAGTGTTACAATGTCACTATTGATAAATTTAAAAAATATATATTTTGAAACAGCAATGTCCTACTTGTACTTATAGCCCTATAACTTGCTAAGAACATGTTAACATTAGGCATTTCTAAACTCAGGACAAAATTTAGAAACTATTTAGCACGGGTGTTTTTTGGCGTTTGTAAATGCGTAACAGATTAAAACAAAAAGTTAGTGTGTTTTCTTTTTTTTTTTTTTTATGTTTTCAACATATTTAAATTTTTTATTTTTTATAGCAAAGTTATATGATATGATGAAAAAAAATGGTATCTTTAGAAAGACCAAAAACAGTATATAATATTCGTGGGTACAGTAAATGAGTATGGGGAAAATTACAGCTAAACACAAACACCGCAGAAATGTAAAAACAGCCCTGGCCATTAACGGCAAGAACATTGAAAAACGGTCTGGTCACTAAGGGGTTAATGCTTGTAATCCTTAGCTGCAGACCTTGCCTGGAAGCTTTGTTGATATTCGAATATAGTACTTTGGCCCTGCATCACACGTCTACATTAATTACATGAGAAACTGTAACCAAACGCATGCTCTATTTGTTAGTAAATACTAGTTTTGCTATAGAGGTGCTTGTTTTCCCACAGCTGACATGCCCAGCCTACCTTGTTATGATATGACCAACAATATTGCTAATACAGAAGTGGCGCATGTGGTTGAGTCACCAATGCCTTGGAAATCCCCGTTTCCTTTTTAAACCTTCAAAACTATAAACACACAGAATGTGTTGGTGGTGCAAAAAAAAAAAAATCAGTATTATCACTCTTTCACAGCAAACAAGAGTGACTTAATCAACAATACCTGCAAGCAATATGTGTTCAATGCTTAGGCATGCTTAGTATTCTAAGCTGCAACTATCCCATACAAGTGTATGGGGGAGATATAAGAATCGAACCTGGCTTTTGATTTTGTTACAATACTGCAGATATTTCTCAAATCACATATAAAAGTTCTAAAACGTGGGTCTAGGGTAATTCTTTTCATTCCTCACTCTCTAAAACAAGATAAAAAAAAAATAAGAAAACACACTTGTGCCATTACTTGTTTTAAATCCACTACAAGCGTCCAAGTACCAAGCTCTTCAGCTATCACAATTTTAAATGTGTTGTGTCTCTCCCAATCCTCCCTTGGGTATCATTCCGAACGGTTTAACCCAGGCCTAACAGTACCATATCCATGACAATGATACATAGTCGTTATTGTGCTTACACCGCCCTTTTAAAGAAACACAAAAATGTGACATTTTGTAGAAACAAATACAATTTCCCAGCCAAGTGCTTACAGTTAACATGTTTATTAAATACACTATAAGAACAGTGGTACTTTGTATTTTGTGTTAAGTGTATTGGCAGTTCACCTCGGGTTATACAGCTACAGAATAATATCATTGGTGCCAGGTGATCCTTTTGGCACCAGTATTTGCTCCAAGTAACTTGCAAAAACAAAACAGAATTTAGTAATTTTGTATTCTAGGAAATAATGTGTAACTTTAATTATGTGTGAATAGATGGCTAATCATATGCTTAATACACATGTACGACTCACTTTTTAGCCCTTGTAGTGCTGGTCTCTGTCATGCTGCTATATTCCTCCCTGGCTGAAATCCTCCGTCTTGTTGATCTCAGCCAATAGAATGCTTCTAGTGTTTGGGCGCGTCAAAAAGGATCTCTGTGCTAATCATATGCTCTCTGTGAGAAGCATTTGATTGAATAACGGAGTCTGAGTCGACTATTTCAGTGGAAGTGTCACTAGAGGTGTGTTTTTTTTAACCCTGCAATAAAAACTGCCAATTCTACTAAACTGCAATGTTTTACACTGCAGGGTTAAAACGACAGATACTGCAACCCGTGATTACGTGTTTTGTGTCATTTTTAAATATCCCTTTAAGAGGAGGAAGAATTAAGCAAGTCTACTTGACATGCATCTTATCTGTGCTGAGAATTTGTTTTAAATTACTTGTCCTTTGCTTTTCAGATTCTTCTAAAGTAATGATGTGGCACTTCTAGGAAGACTTTACTTCTGTTACTACAGTTACTACTACTGTTACTCTGTTACATTGTCCCTTTTTATATCTTTACAAGTGCTGGTGGCAAATTAAATTGGAACTAGTCCTAGGTCTCCTAGATTTTACTAGCTGACAGCTATCTAGCTCTTATCATGTTTGGTATCACACTTTGAGATGATTTTTTAAATTTTTTTTTTATATTTAAAAATATTTCTTAAATGTACACACGGAGCATCATCGTAGAATTCAAAGAGCTTTTTTCTGCATCCTCTTAACTGAAGAGCTGTGTTGACCATGACGTTATGACCTCGATTTAGCTCTCTCCTTGCGTCTACTACTAATCACTCACTGTGCTATTTAAGGGTGAACAAAAGAGGAGTGTGGCCTTACTGGTAGACTAGATAAACACATGCTCTTGCGACCTATTTTTTGCCCACACATGCTGTTGGGGTTCCACTCTCCAAACCTTATATAAGCTTACAGAGACCAACAAACACAGCATGGGCCAGGGTAAAAAAGCTGGGCTACATCACTTTCAGCCCACAACACCCCTTAGTAGCACATTTGGTCCAAAGGACTGGTTTTACTCCACGGTGGGGGACCTACGTAGGTTTTTCGGGTCCATGCCAAGCTCTGATGTTTCTGGGGATACAAGGTCAGAGGTGGATAACCTGGCAGTGGCTGTGGACCTACAAATGTTAGCTCAGTCAAGAATATCGATCTGGCAATGCTAACAGGAAGTAATCCGGTCGGAGATCGCAGGCCTCAGGGCTGAGCTCTCCAGGATGGAGGGGTGAGTACGGTCATCTGAGGTACAGGATTTTCGGTGCGAACAGCACCATCACTCCACTGACCTTGCAGCACACAGCTAAGATAGCCGCCTCCTTGATATAAGGTGACAGGTAGAGCCAAATTTAATGTTGCTATATCAGGAATGCAAGAAAGTAGTCAACTTGGAGCTGTATATTGATAGGTGTGAAATTTTAAATATCACCATTCCAACCCCCACCGCGCATAGGCTATAAAAGGGAATTGGATACATAAGAATCCAACTCGACTTTGTTAGACATTTTCTCCTGCTTCTTAGTATGGTTTATTCAAATCTGAGCTCTTGGGGCAAATTATGTTTTTTTTTTTTTGGTTCGGCTTCGTGAATGTGATTAAGATGAACCTACGTCTGTGCATCTTGTGTTTAATGCAGACTACACCATTTAAGCTACCAGAGGCATTTTTCACCTCTTTGGATACAACTTTTCAGGCATTTATCTGGAGGGACCATGGCTTAAATTACTGGTCCTTGGACTATCCAAACACCTGGGTGGGGTCAGGCTCCCATCATTTAAATCTACAACATATAACTGACTGAAAGGATAGGCAACATATCCCCCACTGGATTCTTCTAGAAATTATGGACTCAAGGGGCAGACTGCTAGCCTTGATTTGGCTTGAGAGGCGTCATGCACTTCCTGATTTACTTATACACCCTTACAGTGGGTCATCTTTGACAATTTGGTTCTCATGCAGAAGAACAAAATCTTTCTTATTTTTACCTTTTTATTAAATTTTTTTCCTCACTATTTTTGAATTTGTCAGGATTAGCTACATTTACATTTTCAAAAGGGAATTAACCTACATCATATCTTATAATTTTTATCTTTCATCTTCTTTCTCGTTTATACCCCTCCTGGTTACAGTTGTCTTTTACTGTTCTACAGTTTTCTTAATACTTTCTTTTTGGGTTGTGTATAGGAAAGGAGTCCTCTCACGGTGCAGGTTATCCTTGGTTTCATCAGCAGGTAGTCACCATCCTTAAAGGACCACTATAGTGCCAGGAAAACATACTCGTTTTCCTGGCACTATAGTGCCCTGAGGGTGCCCCCACCCTCAGGGACCCCCTCCCGCCCGGCTCTGGAAGGGGAAAGGGGTAAAAACTTACCTTTTTCCAGCGCTGGGCGGAGAGCTCTCCTCCTCCTCTCCGCCTCCGTTACGCCCCGCCGGCTGAATGCGCACGCGCGGCAAGAGCTGCGCGCGCATTCAGCCCGTCGCATAGGAAAGCATTTACAATGCTTTTCTATGGACGCTGGCGTGCTCTCACTGTGAAAATCACAGTGAGAAGCACGCAAGCGCCTCTAGTGGCTGTCAGTGAGACAGCCACTAGAGGATTAGGGGGAAGGCTTAACCCATTCATAAACATAGCAGTTTCTCTGAAACTGCTATGTTTATAAAAAAAATGGGTTAACCCTAGAAGGACCTGGCACCCAGACCACTTCATTAAGCTGAAGTGGTCTGGGTGCCTAGAGTGGTCCTTTAACATGCAAAATAAATATTACTGTACATTTTGGGAAGGTTTCAGGACAGGGATTACTACACTGCTCAAAAAAATAAAGGGAACACTTAAACAACATAATGTAACTCCAAGTCAATCACACTTCTGTGAAATCAAACTGTCCACTTAGGAAGCAACACTGAGTGACAATCAATTTCACATGCTGTTGTGCAAATGGGATAGACAACAGGTGGAAATTATAGGCAGTTAGCAAGACACCCCCAATAATGGAGTGGTTCTGCAGGTGGTGACCACTTCTCAGTTCCTACGCTTCCTTGCTGATGATTTGGTCACTTTTGAATGCTGGTGGTGCTTTCACTCTAGTGGTAGCATGAGACGGAGTCTACAACCCACACAAGTGGCTGTTAGTGCAGCTCATCCAGGATGGCACATCAGTGCGAGCTGTGGCAAGAAGGTTTGCTGTGTCTGTCAGCGTAGTGTCCAGAGCATGGAGGCGCTACCAGGAGACAGGCCAGTACATCAGGAGACGTGGAGGAGGCCGTAGGAGGGCAACAACACAGCAGCAGGACCGCTATCTCCACCTTTGTGCAAGGAGGAACAGGAGGAGCACTGCCAGAGCCCTGCAAAATGACCTCCAGCAGGCCACAAATGTGCATGTGTCTGCTCAAACAGTCAGAAACAGACTCCATGAGGGTGGTATGAGGGCCCGACGTCCACAGGTGGGCGTTGTGCTTACAACCCAACACCGTGCAGGACGTTTGACATTTGCCAGAGAACACCAAGATTGGCAAATTCGCCACTGGCACCCTGTGCTCTTCACAGGTGAAAGCAGGTTCACACTAAGCACATGTGACAGACGTGACAGTCTGGAGACGCCGTGGAGAACGTTCTGCTGCCAGCATGGCTGGTTTGGCAGTGGGTCAGTAATGGTGTGGGGTGGCATTTTTTATTTGAAGGCCGCACAGCCCTCCATGTGCTCGCCAGAGGTAGCCTGACTGCCATTAAAGGACCACTCTAGGCACCCAGACCACTTCAGCTTAATGAACTGGTCTGGGTGCCAGGTCCTTCTAGGGTTAACCCATTTTTTCATAAACATAGCAGTTTCAGAGAAACTGCTATGTTTGTGAATGGGTTAAGCCTTCCCCTATTTCCTCTCATTGACAGCCACTAGAGGCGCTTGCGTGCTTCTCACTGTGATTTTCACAGTGAGAGCACGCCAGCGTCCATAGGAAAGCATTGTAAATGCTTTCCTATGAGATCGGCTGAATGCGCGCGCAGCTCTTGCCGCGCGTGCGCATTCAGCCGGCGGGGCGTAACGGAGGCGGAGAGGAGGAGGAGAGCTCTCCGCCCAGCGCTGGAAAAAGGTAAGTTATTACCCCTTTCCTCTCCCCAGAGCCGGGCGGGAGGGAGACCCTGAGGGTGGGGGCACCCTCAGGGCACTATAGTGCCAGGAAAACGAATGTTTTCCTGGCACTATAGTGGTCCTTTAAGTACCGAGATGAGATCCTCAGACCCCTTGTGAGACCATATGCTGGTGCGGTTGGCCCTGGGTTCCTCCTAATGCAAGACAATGCTAGACCTCAAGTGGCTGGAGTGTGTCAACAGTTCCTGCAAGACGAAGGCATTGATGCTAAGGACTGGCCTGCCCGTTCCCCAGACCTGAATCCAATTGAACACATTTGGGACATTATGTCTAGCTCCATCCACCAATGTCACGTTGCACCACAGACTGTCCAGGAGTTGGCAGATGCTTTAGTCCAGGTCTGGGAGGAGATCCCTCAGGAGACCATCCAACACCTCATCAGGAGCATGCACAGGCATGTGGAGGCCACACACACTACTGAGCCTCATTTTGACTTGTTTTAAGGACATTACATCAAAGCTGAATCAGCCTGTAGTGTGTGTTTCCACTTTAATTTTGAGTGTGACTCCAAATCCAGACCTCCATAGGTTGAAAATTTAGATTTCCATTTTTTAATTTTTGTGTAATTTTGTTGTCAGCACATTCAACTATGTAAAGAACAAAGTATTTCAGAAGAATATTTAATTCATTCAGATCTAGGATGTTATTTTTGTGTTCCCTTCATTTTTTTTGAGCAGTGTATTTTGGCCTCTAATCCTTCCCCATTTAGAAAGTTGACTCAGATTAATGTAGGAATAAAAAGCTTGGTGTGTTGCGCCTTAGATATGCCCATGTCTTGGTCTCTGTCAAAATGTATTTTGTATTTGTATTTGGTCATTGTCTCTTTTTAAACTTCTGTTTATTGTATATGTCGGTCTGCAATGTACTTCTGATTCAGTGTAACCACGTGAAACACTAAACTCCGAAATAAATATTGTCAAAAACAAAAGAGGAACTGTCACTTTCCCTGGCAAATGAAAATTTCCTTATCTCACACATGCACAGAATCCATATTCCTAGAGTGAGTACACCCACACTGAACCCCTTCTCTCAAGATTCCGTCAGATGTAATACATGAGGGGATGGCTCAAATAAGGGATTGTCCAATAAGTTACACATAACAGCCTGTGTGTGTGCTGCATGACCGCTGGGAATGAGTTCAGGACAGGTATTTTTAGTCCTTTAATTTCATTTTTTGATACATTATCTGTGTACTCTCTTTAAAAGGAAGCCATTTTCCCCATATGGTCACCCGTCTAACAATTATTCGAAAGTTAACTTTCTTCCAGATTTGGTACTTGATATTAATAGATTTTCTAAATTTTTAATGCTTGGTTTTAATGTGTCTGTGTTGTCCACTTAACTGTCTGACCGTTCATGGAAAATAGGAAGCTTTAAATCTGTTTTACAATATAGAACAGAATTACGCCAACGTGCTCGTAATCCCAAAGTCCTGGAAAGCTGACCTAGAAATTGAGTAATTGTCATACTAGCTTTATGTATAGAGGCGGATAGAATATTGTTTACTTCATCATACTATTTTTAACGCTTAATTTAGAATGGATGGAAATATAGCAATTAGATCCACTCTGTTCAGCTGAGGTATTTGCACGCTTTATGTTTTTGGGTTTTTTATAAGTGTTTTCGTTGAACAATTGTGCAGCAGCTTCTTTGGCTGGTATGTGAGGTGTTTAGCTCAAAAGGAGCTCTGCCTCTGTGTATGCATGTAGGTATTTATAGAGATGTATACATTTTATTTTATTTTTTATTTTTATTTTTTCTCCTTCTTGCAAAGGAAAAAAAAAAAATCTGTTGTGGCATTGTGGTCTATTTCAAAGCAGGTGTTCCTGCTAGAGAATGTCCTGCCAAAAGATGTCCATGTTTTCTTTTTCCCCCAGAATATTTCAGCCTTATCTGCAATTGTTAAATGTTTCTCAGAAGCAGCACTGTTTTCCTTTAGGATCACTGAAGTGCTGATTTAGATTCAGCTTGGTGTCCTTCTAAGAAATCAGTCTGCTGCTTTGATGTAAACAGTTTTACTCTGCTATTTTGCAGTAAGCACCTCTAGTGGCTGTGTGACTGGCACCCACTAGAGGCATTTAAACCCTGTAATGAGAACATTACCCTTCTGCAGGACAGCAATGTTTTCACTTGCATGGTCATGGTACCCAGACAAAAAAAAAAACAAGGGAAAGGGGGGGATATATGGATTAATATCTCCTATGTGGTACCTAGACAAGTTTGTTGAGATGAAGTGGTCTGGGTGCCTGTAGTGAACCTTTAAAATGGCGCACTCGGCACCCGCACGTTAAATGCCGTCTGTAGGTTATGTTGTTTATGCTACGTCTTTTTTTATTTTTATTAATATTCTTTCAGGTTTGTTTTGTTAGAATTAGGTTTGCTCCAAATGCCTATCCCTTCTGTCTAGAATTGCTGTGGAATTACAGATTACAGAAACCCCTGCTATGCATGAATTATGAGAAAAGTCAAGCAGTGTAATAGAAAGTTAAAGGGTTACTCCAACCAAAAGACTGTGTTTTAAGAAAGCCGAAAAAAAATAATAAAACACCTAAAACTTACCTCTTTTCCAGCAGAGAGGCAAAGTTCTTGCAGCCCAGCCTTCCTCTTCTAACATCACTCCCCCTTACTGGATGAATGTCAGGGAGGGCGAGCTGATAAAAGGACATGGGCGGCACAGAAGGAGGGCTCTGTCGCCATTGGCGCAGGGCGCAAGCATTCTGTGCGTACTGAGGTCACATGCCATTTTTGAACAGAATTTTACTGGAACGTTTGTTTGGAACTTTTTTTTTAGGCTGGCTAACGACACTGCTAGAGGTAGAGTTAAAGCTCCAGCAGCAGAGGGGTTTCACGAACACTGATCATAAAGACTCTAAGCACCACTTTAAATCACTGAAGTGGTCATTATGACTGCCTGAGTCACTTCCTGGTTTGCCGAGAGATTATGAAATTTGCAGGAATTGAAGCAAAACGCAGGGACTTAAAAAATATTGTTTTAAAGAACACGCTTTGGAAAAATTGCTATATTTATGATGTTCGATCAGTTCTTAGTACTTTTAAATACAGGACTACTCCTTCGTAAAATAAAGCACTGTAAAAGGAACACTAGTATAACAACCACAAACCCCTCATAGCAATACCAGCACTGCCATAGAGCATTAGATTACTTAACATATCCTTAAGCAATAAAGAAATTACCATTATAAATGATTTGTTGCATGATGATGACAGGCTCACTGTAAACCTGATGGGTGTCAATATTAATACAAAGTCTATTGAGCTGCTGAATTTAGAGAAACTCCGCATAAATGATCTCAAACCTGACTGTTAAAACTAGCTGCAGAATTTCCTAATAGAGTAAAAATGAGAAGTCTATGTGCACTACAGAATCATATATTTGAGGATCCTTCTATTTCTTAAAAAACAATTTGCGCTTTTAACGGTTGGACTTGGAACACCAAGATAATTTATCCAAGCCATTATATAACAAATAATGAAATGATCTAAAATTGTCGTCTGTTCTCTGTTTCAGCTTGAGATCACTCTATTTCTGCGTTGAAAGCCTTTAAAACAATCCATGTTCCCTAATTCCATTTTGAGATCCTTCTGTAGTAGGTGATAACATTTTCTGTATAACTGATGTTTAAAATTAGAAACTGGTGTTTTAGGAGTCATTGATACATCCCTTTTCACCCTTTGTGGGTTTATTAAAAAACCTGCCAATTAGGCTCCATTATTTTCATGTAATCATTGTATGTAAACCACCCCCTTAGGTGTTGGACATTTGCACATGACATTTTAAACACTTTTAACTATGATAATGTGCATGCAACACTATCTCTTTATTAGTTACTTGAGACCGCAACTTGCTCTTTATGGATGATTGCTATCCACTTCTCAGTTTGGGGGCATTGAGTTTATTCTAAGTCCTAATACTCTGCTTGTAGTGTTCTCTATGAGATGCCATCTCAGGGGCACTGGTTAACCTGGGTTTTTATGCTTGGTTTGCTTTTACAGGTTTTTAAAGACTTGTACTTTGTTTTGCTAATCAGTTTACTTTTTATGGCTCCTCTTGTTTACAAATTGCGTAGCTCATATACTGGCCTGTTGCTATTTAGTAACCGCAATGTTTACATTGCAGGGCTAACTCTTTCTCTAGTGTCTGTCATAATGATAGCTGCTAGATGCGTCTTCATGGCACTGACGGAGTAAGACTTGGTCACGTTACACTGAAGCCCCCATAGACTGCGTTGATTCAGTTTTTTTTTTTTAAATGGGGAGGTTTGGGTGCATGGACAACAGTTGCCATGCATTCAATTGGACCATGCTCGGGGACGTCATGCCTCCATGATGTTGTGGGAGTCAGAAAAGTAATCATTTTTTTTTTTTTTTTCTCAAGAGGGGGGACCTAAATTTACTAGGTACATTGACACTAAACTATTAGGAATACAAGTTTAAATTCCTAACTCTTTAGTGTCCCTTTAAGACAAATCCATTGCACAGGATTATGGTCATTGTTCCTTTATTACCAATATTTGAGTGACCGTAAATTCTTCTATTAATTTCCTTAAGGAGTGTTCTTAAAGGGTTACTCCAGCCACCATGACCATTTGATGGTAGAATTATGTATGTGCATTGTTTCTGGTTGAAACACTGCACATAGAGATATATTGTTAATTGTGTGCTTTGAGCTAGTTGCACCCCCAGCACACAAAAAAAGTCTGCTCTGGCTGCCAATATAAATTCTGTGCATAAAAAATGTCTGTCGTTGGCAAGCAGTGCAAACTGGCAACAGATGTAAAAAGCTAGCTATCCCTCCCACCATTCAAGAAATGGGAGAAATCCTCCCTCGCCTTCCTCACTCCCTCTTGTTGGGCCGGATTGCGCGCATTCGTGCAATCACAGGCTTCTCCATGAGACACCTGTGATTGAACCGTGTGAGGCCCCTGTGATGTTGGAGAAGACTTGGAAGTCCCGTCCCCGTCCCCCCCAGCATTTACTACAAATTGAGGGGGTAGGGGGATTCTCCATATTGCTCACTAGGGCATATTACACAGGGAAGATCTATCTGATTGTAGCAGAAGTATGCATTGTATGAATAATATTATCATTTGTGTCTTTCAGGTGACATACAGCATGTTTGGTGCTTCAAGAAAGAAGTTTGTAGAAGGAGTCGACAGTGACTACCACGATGAGAATATGTATTATGGCCAGTCATCGATGTTTCCACATCGGCCGGAAAAAGATGTAAGTCTTTTAGTTTGTTATAGTGATCTTCTCATCATGACCCCTGTTGCTTTTGTTGGGTTTACAAAGAAATTAACTGATGTTCTTACCTAATGTGTTTTTCTTACAAAATCTCTGTTAAATAGACTGAACTGAAGTCTGAATGCCCCACTTTTGTCTGTAAGCATTTGCTAAAGGAACATCTTTCATGGCTGATAATTAAGTGTTCTTGCAAGAACACTTATTGTTATCTCACATATATATTATTATTCTTATTATAGCCAAATTTGCCACCCTAACTCCTCCCACAGTTTTTACACTACATAGACCAAAATTTACCAAAACGTGCAGATTGTTCCCGATCGGATTGCTATTACTTTGTGGAACGTTTCGCCGAATGGTTCACGGAATATCGTCGTTCTTGTGGCGAAATTTGTCCCATAGGAATGAATGGCAAAGCTAGAGTGGGAGCTGGCAAAAGCTGAAAAATCAGGACATGATTTCTAAACTGCCACCACTCCCTTATTTTCAGGCCAACCTACACAAATCTTATATCAAAACGTTCAGCTATCCCTGCTGCCACTAAACATGTCAACGGCTAAGCCGTAGTCCTGATAGTTTTCACAATATAATCCTTTGTTTGCAACTAACGCCGTCCATTGACTTTCATTGAAACTTCACTCTGCAAAGCTCGAATTTAAAGTGCAATTTCTAAACTGCGACTGTGCCTTCAATTTTAATACTTCAGAGAAATATGCATCAAAATGTAGGTCTGTGTCTTGTGATTCTCACAATATAAAGTTCTTCGCTGTAGGATTTATAGTTTTTAAAATACGACCGTTTGAAGATGGCAACCGCCAAAATACTCTGACCTGTCAAGGCTGCAGCAGCAAGTGATGTCATAGACAGGGCCTTTTGAACACTTGCTAATGTTTTTATAAATGTATGCTTTAATGTAACTGTGCAACAACGTTGCAATTAAATGTGCTATATAAATGATAAGTTACTCCGCCCACTCCAGTTGTAGACTACTGGTGGAGGCAAGAACACTTCACACAATTTCCCCAGAAATTGTAGCTTTTCTAGTTATTATTATTATTCTTATTATAGCCAAATTTACCACCCTAACCCCTCCCACAGTTTTTACACTACATAGACAGTAGTATACCGAAACGTGCGGATTGTTCCCAATTGGTGTGTTATTACTTTGTGGAACGTTTTGCCAAATGGTTCACGGAATATCGTCATTCTTGTGGCGAAATTGGTCCCATAGGAATGAATAGTTTTGAACATTTTGCCATTCATTCCTATGGGACCAATTTCGCCACAAGAATGACGATATTCCGTGAACCATTTGGCAAAACGTTCCACAAAGTAATAGCACACCAATATTTTTAGTACAATTTTAGGGCAAAAAGGTTCAACACATTGCTCAGTTAGCATTATGACTTTTAATCAACCCTTCACTCAAAATACGATATGTAAAAAAAAAAAAAAAAAGTACGACCACAAAAAAGTGATTTTAAGGGAGCATGTGGTATCCAATATTTTATTATTTTCTTGTAATAATTAACATTACTGTTTTATAAGTGATATATTCATGTATATATTTTTACATTTTATAGATGTTGAAATTGTTCCCTTGAACACACTTCGTATTGCTGGTGATATAGGATTCTCTGCAATCTATTTAAAGGAATGTTCTTAAATTACAAATTTAAATATTGTGTTGAATTATTGGACTTCCCATTTTATGAAAATATATTAAAGATTTGGAAAAATAAAAACCAAAATATTACTTACCTGTAATCCAGCACTGGGACAGTCTAATCACAGAAGCCTCTCTGTTTGCTAATCTAAGTTGCATCATATGCTTCTCAAAGAGACATTTGGTTGTGCTGGGCATGTTCACACTCCGCAAAAAGACCTTCTATGGCATTGAAACCATAATCTAATATCTTCCCAATAAAATAAAAACTCCTGTGTAACTAAAGTAAGGATTATTCCTCATTGGTAAAAGTTTACTTTAGCAATATAGGATTCACTTAATTGTTTTTACACTCATAGCTAGAATTTTTTTTGTATTGTTCCTACATACATTCATACGTAATTAGAATACAATTCTAATCACTAGTACATTTATGAATAGACCGTTTCAGAAACAAGGATAGCTTAGTAATAAACATTATGTGTACAATGTTTTATTAAAAAAAACCTGCTAGTTATTTCATATGCAAGAATATTTAAAAACTAAAAATCGAAGAATTGGTGTATTGTATGTATTTTAAAATAATATAATTGTATTTATGTATTTGCTTTCACTCAATGAAAACATTTTTTGCCTTATTTTTAATTCAGATGCTGGCATCTCCATCACCATCCGCATCGGGTCAACTGTCTCAATTTGGGGCAAGTTTATACGGGCAACAAAGTATGTTACCATTTTATTAATAGGTTTTATGTGATCATTTTATATTGTTGACATGCTGGTTCTTTATACTGTTGCTACTTTAGTTTTCTACAATTTTTATTATTCTTTATCTTGTATTAGTAATTAAAAAAAAAAAAACGAATGCAGAAAAGCTTTTATGATTTTGTTTTTTATATAATGTTTAAAATGTTTTTTACATTTTATTTAAAGGAACAATATAGCATTAGAAATACAAAACTGTATTCCTAACACTATAGGAAGCCCGTGTCCCTCACATACTAGGTCCCCTCATTGAAATCGTCCCATCACCTTCTCAGATGAAGTGGTTTGGGTGCCTATAGTGTCCCTGTAAGACCAGCTTAGTATGTATTCATCAGTCATGTAAGGTAATTAACTGAAGGCATTTTATTTTTAAATTGACTGCCTTCATAAGGAGCAATTTGGAATATTCTAATCCTTTTGCTTTTTAATACAAATGAGCACTTTCAGCTAGCTGCTATGGAAAATATAATCTCTTACAATCCTGCCCATATGTTATAATTATAACACACACAAATATTTTATTTCATACCTGTTCAAGTTTACAGGTTGTAGAAAAAAGTAAGTAAATTGATACAGGGCACTTCCTAAAACTAATTTGTGTAACTCTTTTCTTGTATGGTGAGTTATTTGCAAGTGGAGTATTTTTCAATGTGTGTGTTGTTTTATGTGTATTTATTCCCCCCCCATGTAATTATTTTGCAGGTGCACTAGGCCTTCCAATGAGGGGGATGAGCAACAGCACTCCTCAATTAAATCGCAGCTTATCACAAGGCACTCAGTTACCAAACCATGTAACGCCGACAACAGGGGTACCGACAATGTCACTTCATACACCACCATCTCCGAGCAGGTATGGTGGGTGGTCACGTATGCATATAGATATTGTCGTAGAAAAGTTAAACTGGTTGATTTCTTTAGAATGAATGTATGCCACATTGATTATAAAGTGAGGATGGTGTTATTCCCTATAATATAGTACAATTATAATATAGCCATGCTGTTTTGTATTTTTTCTTCTTCATTTTTTTAGAGGCATATTGCCGATGAATCCCAGGAATATGATGAACCACTCCCAAGTTGGACAGGGCATTGGAGGAATTCCTAACCGGACAAACAACATGAGCAGTTCAGGTTTAGGTAGTCCTAACAGAAGCTCGCCTAGCATAATATGTATGCCAAAGCAGCCATCATCCCGGCAACCTTTTACTGTGAACAGGTGAGCACTGTCTGTATGGTACTCCATTACTGAATTTTAGATGAACATTGACATCTCTTCCCATAACTGCATTTATTTTATACCACATTCAAAGTACATTTTACATGGAACATTTGAAAGAACTATGTACACTGCGTGAGACACTCATTTATGTACACTCATTTGCGTGAGATTAGTGCTACATGTCTATGGGCACAGCTCCCTGTTTCTTTTTGCCAAATCTCTTTTGGAGAAGTTTGGCAAGCCCTGACCCATGTAGCCCTCTATCTCTCTGTGTGATAGTCCATTCTATATCCGCACAGTGACAGGTCTGGGACTAGGCTGTAGATGCAGATCGAGCACTGGATTTCATCAAACTGCCCAAATATGGTTTGGCACAAACCAGGGTATGGATTAGACTTTTTAAGAACCATAACCATTGTAGCTCATTGTAGTGGTTATGGTGCTTACTGCCTCTTTTAATATATACTTAAGATATAAGCATACTATTACCAGCATAATATTTATTTATTTTATTTTTCTCTGTTACTCGACTGTTATTTTGTTTATTCTGCTTCCTTTTTCTAATCTTACAGTATGTCTGGGTTTGGAATGAACAGAAATCAGGCATTTGGTTTGAACAATTCCTTATCGAGTAACATTTTTAATGGAACAGGTAAATGTTTCCCATGTTTCTGAATGTAAAGCCTACCTACACAGTAATCTGAACCTACGGATATTTTATTCTCATGTTTTTCATCTCCGCATTCATTGTAGGTAGATCTATTTTCTGCTGTATCCACAAAACACATTTTCCCATAATAAATAAACTTAGAATTAACTTCACTAATTATCTTCTAACCTCAGCATAATTTATAATTGAAAAACTCTTGATGGTAAATATCAATTATTGTATAATGAACAGCATGATCAATTGCATTATTGCTTAAAATGCTTCAAACTGATTATCTTTTGTTTTAACTGATTTAACACAGAAAGCGTGTGCACATTAGTTCATGTCTCATTAAAGCACCACTATAGTGCCAGGAAAACATACTCGTTTTCCTAGCACTATAGTGCCCTGAGGGTGCCCTCACCCTCAGGGTCCCCCTCCCGCCCGGCTCTGGAAGGGGTAAAAACTTACCTTTTTCCAGCGCTGGGCGGGGAGCACTCCTCCTCCGATCCTCCTTCTCTCCTCCCCGTTGGCTGAATGCGCACGCGCGGCAAGAGCTGCGCGCGCATTCAGCCGGTCGCATAGGAAAGCATTCACAATGCTTTCCTTTGGACGCTGGCGTGCTCTCACTGTGAAAATCACAGTGAGAAGCACGCAAGCGCCTCTAGCGGCTGTCAATGAGACAGCCGCTAGAGGCTTTGGGGGAAGGCTTAACCCATTCATAAACATAGCAGTTTCTCTGAAACTGCTATGTTTATAAAAGAATGGGTTAATCCTAGCTGGACCTGGCACACAGACCACTTCATTAAGCTGAAGTGGTCTGGGTGCCTAGAGTGGTCCTTTAAGTGAGATTTTGATTGTATCCGGTACAGAAATATGAAACTATCAGTTTTTGGTAGAACATAACTTGTAAACTTAATTATTTAACCAAGAAAACCCGGTTCAGTCAATTTCAAAATGAATAACTTCTAAAGTATTACTCACTTAAAGGATGATTTATGTAACTACTGAAACTAAATGCAAACTATAGGATCGATTGTAAGGAAGGTGTTGGATAATTGTAAAAATTGTTTTTTTTTTTTTAGTTTTGCCTTTTATTCCTCTAAATTACTAGTGGTGGAGAAAACTGTGAGGTCACTCCAGGTTTGATTGATCTCCCTTTAATATACCAAGTAACAGTGGTTTCCAATCCAATCCTTATGGTACGCCTACTAGTCCAGGGTTTAGGGATTATCCAGTTGTGTCAAGGTGTTTGTTTTGTTTTGTTTTTTTCCATCTAAAAACACTGTAGAGACAACTGGGTAATCCCTAAATCTTGGACTGGTAGGGAGTACCTTGAGGACTGGTTTGGAAACCACTGCCATATAGAATATCTCAGGATTTTGATCTTTATCTGGTGCCTCTGATGTTGTGTAGATATCTGAAATAAGGGCTCTTCCTTTGCTTTCTGTGGAACACAAGGGGTAATGTCTCCATGTTTAGGTGAATTAAAAAAGTCAGTAAAGCGTGGCACCACTTCTCATTTAGACTATCAAAAGAGATCTAAAATCTAGAGGTTTATTTTTTCTTCTTTAACTGAATGAGTACCAAAGAGCATCTTTGTTGCACAAATGGGCTTTTCATTCCCTGAAATGCTGTAGGGATTGTGTAACTGTACATTTCCTGATGGTTATCTAGAAACTTTATAGAAGGTGGTGCAGAAAGTATTTACCTAAGGTACTTATGATTTTTGATGTACTGAATGGCCCTTTAACTCTTTTGCAAAGTTAAGTAAGAGCTTTTCTGGTCACACGTTAAAATAAAAAGCACCGAGATGTATAGTGGTTTTTATTTATTTATTCATTCATTCATTATTTATTTTTACATTTTAATCACTGAGTTTAGTTTGCATTTTCCTTTTGTATAGTGGAAGTAAACTAATGGGTAGTCACCTTGCTATCGGACAGGTAAACTATGAAAGGTCCCTCCTACAAAATTTTCCCCCTTACACTAAAACACTGGGCTTGCCAGGAAGGGTCAGATTTTCTTTTCCTGCATGCAGGACAAATAGGTGGCCACATCTCCACATTTGGAATAGGTGATATAGTAACTTTGTATTTTCATAGACTGCAGGTGCTTTTTTTCCTTTATGTAAGAAATATTCAATTTGTCATTGCATTTGTCCAAATATTCCTGAGAAGAAAAATCAAGGGCATAGCTCTCAACTTTGGTGGGACAGGGAGACCTGTTTAATTTTAGCAAACTCCTCCTAACATTTCCACATGTCCCCTACACTTTGTAGTCCAATTCTGCACCTGGCTGAAGAGAAGGACTATTAACCCATTTTAACAGATATTGAACTACTGTTATCATTCTCGTTATCAGAGGACATACTTTCCTTCTTTATAATAGTAACTGATAATGTTTTAGAAGCAGTACATCTTTTTGATTGTAAGCTTTCCCTAACTGCCCTTATTATATCCTTTTCAATGTTAGGATCTATGTAACACTATTTTATTTGTCATTACTGAACTCCTTAGATTCATGTTTCAGTTTCAATTGGCTCTACATATATATTTCTTTGTTTTTCCTTTTCATACAGTCATTTTGCATGGTAAGTTTTAAACTGAACAAATATGCATTTCAGATGGAAGTGAAAATGTGACCGGATTGGACCTTTCAGATTTCCCTGCACTAGCAGACAGGAACAGAAGGGAAGGAAGTGGGAACCCAACTCCATTAATAAATCCATTGGCAGGAAGGGCTCCTTACGGTAAGCCATATGTTCGGAAATCTATCTAATATGATGATTTGCGCATTCTACCCAATTTCTGCCTGTCATTTGTATTCTTTAGACAAATTATGGCTAACCTAGGCACCCAAGTTGTTTTGTGAATTATTTTACAATAGAAAAGAGAGTATTATTATATAGTTTACATTATTTAGCTATGATTACTTTAAATACACATGCCATGGTTTTCTTTATCAGCTTCTTTATTGGCAAACTCACCAAACTCCTTTAATTTAAAGCTATTAATTTTAAGTATATATATTTTTTTTTACGGATCAGCTGGAATATTTTGCTAAATATGCATTAAATATGGTATTTTTGGATTCCTCTATGCATTTACTGGTAGAGGAATTACTAGATGAAAAAAATGATAGTATTTTAATATTTCCCCAGAATAAATCTGAAACAACCTCTATACTAAAACGTGACGTACAGTAGGCAGTGTAAATTATTAATGTGCAAATTATCTTTTTGTAGTCGGAATGGTGACAAAACCAGCAAGCGAGCAGTCACAGGACTTCTCGATACACAATGAAGATTTCCCTGCATTACCAGGCTCCAGTTATAAGGACCCAACATCGAGCAATGACGACAACAAATCTGTAAGTAATTTTTGGTAATGTTTAGAATTAAGTACTGTTGACTGTATTTCAGGATGACTTGCTATAAACAGATGTGGGTTTTATATAGTTTCCTAGTTTCTCACCATCCATGTTAAACTTATTAACAATAAACTAATATTATTCCTAAAGTAATATTCAATAAACTAGTGTTATTACCTCAGCAGTAGTTGGAGAAAACTGGATAGTACTCTTTAGAGAAGCAGTATCTAGGCATGTGATTTTGTTTTTTTAATATTGCATAACACTTTGACTGGGTGGTCATGGCTTATTAAACTTCAGCACCCAGGATAAAAAAAAAAAAATGAATATGCATTGGGTATTTTTTTAATTTCCCTCCTGGTAGAATTAGAAAATGACAGGGGGCACAAATGCATTGTATACTTGCCATTCTCCAATTCCCATTTTCTCACTTGCCAATCACAAAAAGGCACACTGCACAATTGGTGTAGATATAAAAATCTTAGCTGTTCCCAAGATTAAAATACTACATGTATTTAAACGCCAGCACACTAAACAAGTTCTAATTCACAAGAGAAAATTGTCTCACACCCTGCATACTAAAAAATGCATTTTTATATGTATGAACAGAACATAAACATTGTACAGCGCTACAGAATTAGCTGGCCCTATATAATTAATAAAAAAGCCAGTTGGCCTATCTGAGCCACAGTCTTAACATTTTAGTTGTGTAGTTTTGCCCCACTGGACTTCAAACGTTATAACACATGTAGTATGAAGTCTGCATTTGCCACTAGTTTTAAGAAAAGTGGTGGAGCAAGGTAATAATGGTGATAATAAAGTGCTTTAGTGACCTGTAACTCCCCAAAAAAAGCTTATTTCACGCTTGGGTATATCTATAGTCATCTTGTAAAGTTGTCTGTGAAATGTGTTTTTTACATTTTGTCTTTAGATTTTCCATGGCTAAATTAATTCCTGATCATTTCACTTTTTTAAAAGTTTTTCTTATAAATTAGTGTTTATTAGTTGAAATGTTAATATTAACCTGAATAGTTAAGTAATGTGTTCAGATATTACTCATGAGGTTTTTGTGTTTATATTTGTGTGCGTGCAGAATTTAAATACTCCAGGAAAGACTGCCTCAAGTACAGACGGACCCAAATTCCCCGGGGACAAAAGTTCCACAACGCAAAATAATAACCAGCAGAAAAAAGGGATTCAGGTTATGCCAGATGGTTAGTGGTTTTTGTTTTTGTTTTAGTTTTTTTTACTTTGCGGAAAATGTTTGCTTTTAGATGCTGTTCAGGTAATTTTACAACACAGTGCACTGAAGGCGAACTTATTTATCCTAAAATATCAACACTTCAGTTAAACACAAAAACAGAAATCATGATGTGTGTGTGATCTGAGTTTATTTTAAAATAACTGCATTAAAAAAGTAAAATAGAAAAATATTTTGCCCTTTCTCCTGCTTACCTTTCTTTGCAGGGAGGAGGCTATCTTCCCTGGTAGTCCCGGGTGTTTAATGATTCCCTTGTGGTCCGTGGGGATTTCTAATCATTGGTGGTCCACTGGAGTTAATAATATTAAATCCCTGCTTTTTCAGTAATCTTAAAGAAACACTATAATGTGAGACATACAAATATGTATTCTTAAGGCTTTAGTGCCCTAGTTGCCTTTTAGTTAACTGGGCAAACGCTGCCAAGTATTTTACTTGCCTATTAGCCCTCTCCATGCTGGTCTTCTCTGTGAACCTCTGCCTCTTTGCTGCGGTCATTAAGAAAGCTTTGGGAGGCTAGTGCGTATGCGTGGTCTGGCTCTCAGTGAGAAAGTACAGGAACATGCTGGAAATCCCATTGACTGCACGGACTTCCTCATTGAGAAATGAAACTAAGGGAGAGGTTAATATGGTTTATACCACGTAGAGGTGCAGACTACATCCTCGACCACCAGGGAATCATTATTCTTATTTAAATATATCCTCAGACTCTCCGCACGTCTGCCGGCATGTCCGAAGGCAGCTGCCTGTGCCGTCTTACTAGTGCATTCCCCCACAGTGCCTGCAATGTTGCGAACCTCTGGTTCATGTGCCAGAGGTTCACCTTCACTGTGGTAAAGTGCATCAATATGTTATTTTGCTTACACATATTTCCAGTTAGAAACTTAAAGTCTAACATTTTCATGGCTTAAATTTAGATGTGTTTTAGGCAGTCGGTAAAACCCATGTTGTCCACCAGTGGCATTGTTAAAAACCTCTCTGGATTTTTACTCCTTTTGGCCTCAGATTGGGTTACACCGTCTGGAGACCTGCTGTGTTTTGAACTTTAAAATACAAACCGCGTATTACTCTGTAAACTGGTAATGATGGAGAATTTAAAGAGGTAATTGCAGATTCTAAAACCAAAAATCAGAATTTGAGAAATTGCATTTCAATTGACTGGTTTGGCTATTCACAAACAGCCAGATTACAGACAAATTCCCTTCTTCTAGTTGAATTAGCTTCACTGGTAGACCAGGGAATTTCACCAATTCCTCTCAGGCCAGCTTGCCATAAATCAGTCCGACGCCACCATCACCTCTCCCCCCACCCCCCCCTCCCTTTTCTTTGTAATTACACCACAGTCCAAAATCTCCCTATCTCACCCAAACCCTACATAAGAAGTTTGTTTTCCGTAGCAGTGGGATTCAGCTGCAGTTCTGTACAGCTGTTTAAATAAATCTTAGCACTGCAGCAGCTAGATCTATTCAATGTAATATAGTCAGCTTGCAGTTGATAGTTAACATTAGAGGAATTTTATTACCAGAGTCCTAGAGAATCGAGCCACATCAAAGTAGCTGAATTAGCTTTTACAATGTATGTTGGGAACAGGCTACTAAATCCCAATGACTTGTTTTATAGCTGATGTAGAAAACGGAAAATACATGAAGGCTCAAAAGGCCCATAAAGATAGGTTTCACTGGAATGGCTAAAATCTGGTATTAACATATTGTTAAACCATTTTACAGAACATAGTTTGTTGTGCTGTAATTTATTTTTATTTACAATGCTGTACTTTTGAAGTACATCACTATTCAAATTATTACAATGTGTTTATAGTTTCATTCTTGTGTTGCCACTACTATAATTTTAATGTGGTGTTTTTTTTTCTTCTTCTTTCAAATGGATGCAGTCTTAACAACACCTTGTTTTTGTCCTGTTCAGGGCGAGTTACCAACATTCCTCAAGGCATGGTGACAGATCAGTTTGGCATGATTGGCTTGCTAACATTCATCAGGGCAGCAGAAACAGATCCAGGGATGGTACATCTTGCATTAGGAAGTGACTTGACAACACTAGGCCTCAATCTAAACTCCCCAGAGTAAGTTAACTGGATCTGAAAAAAATAGTTTGACTTTTGATGAGTTTTGTTTTTATATTGTCTGATGCTGCCATGTTGTTTTCGTGCTGATTGTAATTGAGACTGCATTCATAAATGTGTTGTCAATTGAATCTCGTATTGGAAAGAAAGTAAACTTTCATTCCCTACTAGATGGCTCAGTGCAATGTTATACTCTAATTAGGCATGCTTTTATAAATACAATGTTTATTCCTCCTTATCAAAGGGCATTATTCTGTCAATGAGACAGCCACTAGAGGCTGCATTAACCCTAGTGTAAAAATTCTCTGAAACTGTTTACAGCTGTAGGGTTAACCCTAGATGGACCTGTCACCCATTGAGCTGAAGTGGTCTGGGTGCCTATAGTAGTTCTTTAATAATGCTAAGGATCAAATACAATCCTTACTTTTCCTCACCCTACTATTCATTTGGTTGCTATTCATCTACAACTCTCATTGCTAGGTGTTCGGGATCAGCAAGTCAAAAATTACCAATATTGGTTATCCCAGTGTAGCATATCATTTTTCATATGTATTAAAAATTCATCTATCACAGATCTATAATGAAATATACATCATCTTAGGATCTAGCATTATGGCAGTGAGAAACGTAAAAAAATTTTTATTATTATTAATCTTGTCTTTTGGATTTCTTTGTATTAGGGAAGTGGTAAATATTGTGACTGGAATTTCACATTAAAAAACACTAAACGGTTACTATGGCTCCTTTAGCAGCAAATAATTGGTTAATTAACCCCATTTGTTTGGTTACCTTAATCCAGCTTCCTCGGCGCTGGTGACCTCTCCTCCTCCTCCATCGACGTCGGCTCCCGAGTGCAACTGAATGCTCATGCGCTGCTGCCAGAGGAGTGCGCACATTCAAACGCGCCCAAAGGAAAGCATTACTCAGTGCTTTCCTATGGGGATCTTTTTTGCCGCGTGAGGTCTGCCGTTTCTCTAAAACTGCTATTTTTACACTGCAGGGTTATAACTAGGGGGACCTGGCACCCAGCCCACTTCATTTAGCTGAAGTGGTCTGGGTGCTTATAGTGGTCCTTTAAGCAGTTCATAATGTATAAGACATAATTGTAAATACGAAAACTTGACTATCACATCGCAACAGATGTAGTTTCTTGTGTGTTGTCACTCCCCTTGTGCAAGTAAAAACGGTAACTAATTCGATCACTGGTTATTTGTAAACTATTTTATCATTCTCTGTGAAGTGGTCATATGACTAGCAAAGTTCATGCAAAATACCTGTTTTGTAATCATTATTCAAGATGACCATATTTATGGACTGTGCTTTATTTGCTTCAGTAAATAAACTCTTAAAACTCATGCCACACCTTTTTGTTTTTCCATTTATTTCTGCTCAATTTTTTTTATTTGGACTAATCTTGTGTAATCGATCTCTGTGAATAGCATTCTTATTTTATCTGCTCTTCATATTTAGTCTAATTCCACTGTACTGAAGCAATACACTGTTACTATAAATGTTATAAGCTCAACATTTTATTTGTTTAATAAAGAAAATTTTTTTGCAGTCTTAAAGGGTTCCTCCAAGTACCATGACCACTGAAGTGATTTGAAGTGGTCATGGTAGTAGGAGTCTGTATTTGTAGTGTTTTAGCTTGAAACCATGCACATACTGAGATAATTGTAGTTGTGTGCTAATTGCACCCCCAGCACACGTGACATTGGAAGCCCAGAACTCTGTTCCGGGTTGGCAATGTAAATACTGTGTGTAAAATACATTTGTCTTTTTAGACATAGAAATCTTCCCCTTGCAAGTACAGGGTGGCCCATAAGTCCCTACCCATCCATATATGTTATGTAATCAGTGTATCTGTGTGCTGGATTGGTAGGGACTTATGGGGGGCCAACCTGTAGAGTGTCTAAATGCCTACTACTCCCTCCCTCCCTCCCCTTGCTGACCTGGATCTCGCGCATGCATCTCGAGGCTGCGAAATTGTTCAGTCACAGGCTTCTTTATGATAAGCTGGTGATTGAACTGCGTGAAACACCAGTAATGTTAGAGAGGGTGTGGAAGCTTTTTGTTCAACACTTGATTATAGGGGAGTAAAAAATGTTTTGCTTGTTTTCCATATTCTACTGGAAAGGACCCTCAAGGGTTGAAGAAGTATTTCTTTGTCGTTTTGAAAAAAATATTTAAAATTAAAAAATCCATTACCTCTCATTATATGTAGGTAGATTTATAAGGGAATATTTCAACAATGCTGTAAATCAAAATATCCCCTAATAAGCCTTCTTAAAAAAAAAAAAAAAATAATAATAAAAAGATACTCTCGTCCTGACAGACTGACATATGTACATCATTACGGATTACAGTGTACAATGTTTAGATAGATATGCTATGTGAGCATGTATGTACATGCATTTAAGTTTATTTCTTATTTCTTTAAACAGAAATCTTTACCCAAAATTTGCTTCACCGTGGGCATCATCGCCGTGTCGACCTCAAGACATTGGTATGACATTTCATGTGGTGACATTGAAGTTCTATGTAATTTTATTATACATTTTTTAAGCAAATGGATTTACTGTAAATTGTTCACAAGGTGGCAATGCGATTGTTACAGCAGCACTCTGTATATCATTTGAAAATCCCTTACAAAATAAGTAAAGCTTTTTGGAATAATATAATTTTTGTTTCTCTTTTGTAGATTTCCACGTACCATCGGAATACTTAACGAACATTCATATTAGGGATAAGGTCAGTAATTTTCTGTGAACAATTATTCACAAAGTGTTTTACTAAAAACTAGAATAGGGAGACGGTGCATTCTTAAATTTTTAAATGGCCAATGTTTAACTATGGTGTATGAAAAGCTCACGTCTAAAAAAGCATATGTATAAATAACCACGAGACACAGCAATTTTTAGTATATAACTGGAAAGTTGGTACACTTGCATCTATATATTTTTGCATTATAAATTCTAGTTTTCCATGCAGTAGCCTCCTAGTCAGTAGCTTCAAGCCCCCTTCCCACCTCCCCCACAACTCCCTAATTAGAGATTATCCCCTTAAGGACCAAATTTCTGGAATAAAAGGGAATCATGACATGTCACACGTCATGTGTCCTTAAGGGGTTAAAGTACTTTACAAAAGTGGATTTCTCCGACTATATCCATATTTATTGTGATCCTGTAGACTCCACAGTGACAGAGCAATTTCTGTATTGCACATTGCAAATATTCAGTGGTCTTAAACGTTAAAATCACAGAATCTTCATCTATCATAATATTTCATGACATTTAATATGACTGACAGTGCTGCATGAAATAATTGTTTTGTGCTCTTTTTACTATTCACAAGTAAAACTGGATAATGAGGCATGACATTTTTGTTAATTTCCCATATTCAGAGGAGAATTTGGAATGGCTCTCTTGTAGGAATAACATTACTATAATGCTTTAAATAAAAGCAAGCATATTGTTTTATATTTTACCATATAAAATTGCTTTAATTTTGTTTCACCTTTGTTTTCATTTTTTTGTTTGTTTTTTCTTTTCTAGTTGGCTGCAATAAAACTTGGCCGATATGGAGAAGACTTATTGTTCTATCTCTATTACATGAATGGCGGAGATGTTTTACAGCTTTTAGCTGCTGTCGAACTGTACGTTTTATCTGTTTTTGTTTACGACGCATGCCCTTGTAAAGTGTGCTTGTGTGTGTTCCTGATTAGTTTAATGCTATTTCACCTTTCTGGTATAGATCATCTTTACAGATGGAATAAAATTCTAATCTTTCCCTAGATTAAATGTTTTGAATTTTCAAACGGCAGTGTCCCAACTCATGGCACATAGAACACTATTGATGGTTGTAGGTTTGCTGTGCCATGTGTTGATGAATTTTGGTCTACTTTTCGAATTACCAGCTGCTTATTGATTGTTACGCTGCTATCCCAGCATGCTTTGGAAATGAGAACGATTTAGTTTTCTGTCTGCTACTTTTGCATTATACAGTTATGTTTATTAGAAAAAAAAATCTCTTGCTCTTCTAGCATTGTGTGTATTTCCCTCTTATGAATTTATACCGAATATATCTATGGAATTTAGAAAAAGTGTGCTTGCAGTTAGTCCATCTTAAAAACTTTATATTTTTAACTGCAACAACAGGGCAGCAACATTGGATTAGAAATATAACGGCTACTTTCAGTAGCCTCACATTCTACATTTTTAAAATTTATTTTAATTCATAACCGTTTTTTCTGAATAATTAAAATTGTATACATCTAAATGCTGGAGGCAAAAGTCGTTACATGGCTTATAATAAATATTTTTTATTTGGGTAATTTTGTTTAGAGAAATACCACATTTTTTACATTACTTTTATGAAACGCTGCCTTCTGATACTTGTATAGCATAGTTTTGCTCGGCAGCATATAGGCTATTTCTTTAATTAAGAGCATTGTTTTCTCCAAGGTTTCTTCAATTGATAATGTGAAATAAAATGTCTTAAAAATGTCAGTTGTGAAAAAAAACAAAAACCTCTTTCACATTGACATAATATAGTTTGAGGGGCGCTCTAAGCAACATAACCCCTTTAAAAATGGCACGATGTAAAATAAGTCTTCACGAAACATAAGAGGAACATAATAATCATCCACTTTGATAATGTGGCATTAAACCTTTAGCATCATCAGTGTCAATTCTGTCTAACTATGATGACTGGTTGGCTGAAAGTGTCGGGATGAGTTAGCACTTTCAACCAGGCACTGTAGTCCTGTTGTACAACTTGACATAGGTAATGCTGAAATATGCCTTATTATTAGGGCAACCAAGATTTGGAAGATCATTGGCTTTTATCAAACCATTCTTAAATGATTTGATATTAAACTGAAGGGCTGTGGGTGGGACTGTAAGCAGAGCAGCCTAAGCGCTTACAAGGATCTTTAACCTTTCTAACTAATGCTTTGAAAATACAGCACCAAGTTATTTACCAGTTTGTTGTAGAACAGAGAAATGCTATTATACATTGCAATAAGTGTCACACTTTTTTTTTTTTTTTCCTTCTTATTCCAGTTTCAACAGAGACTGGAGATATCACAAAGAAGAAAGAGTATGGATTACCAGGGCACCCGGAATGGAACCAACTATGAAAACGAACACCTATGAGAGGGGAACATATTACTTCTTTGATTGTCTTAACTGGAGGAAAGTTGCAAAGGTACAAATCCACTGGATATTTGTGGAACTGGTCACAGGGTTGTAAATAAATGTCTCCCTGTATACATGTTTGATCCTATGATCATTTTAACTAGTTTCCTGATGTTTTATTGTTATCACCAAATTGTCCACCCAGGTTATGAATTCAATGGTTACTAGCATGTTTTTACTCCCAAGGCCAGGACATCTTTGTGTGGTTTGTTAGAATTATAGCCACTTTACAAAATATCATAAGTAAATTGATGTCTTGCTGCTGTGGCTGGGAAGGACCTTTCACTAATGCCATTTTCCTTCACACTATACAGCATGCAAAATCAACCAAATTATTTATAGACATGAGTCTGTAATATCATCTTACAAATGGCTTTACATAAAATGGCACACTGAGACTTGTCTTTTATACATTTCACTTTTTCCGCAAGATACAGGATGGTAGAGAAAGCAGTCATTAGATCTACTGGGAGAGACCAGAATAAAATAACCAAACTATCGCATTTAAACTCTGCTTTATCAAGTATGATTTAAAACAGCACTGTGCCAATTTAAACCCAGCTAGAATTATGCTAATGTTTATCACATTAATTTTGTGTGTGTGTATATAATATTTTATTTTCACACTACACTTATTTGTCTCCCACATGGGTACATACTGCGTAGTAGTGGTGGGCTTAACGCGTTATGGCCATATGGTGGAACTGAATCCCCATATTTATTTGTTGAGATAGATCATTTTAAGTAGCCTTGTAAAATTTAAAACTGTATTTTTAGTCTCTTGGATTTCATCCAGCAGTTGTGTATAATTTTTATATTGAGTGACTTAATCCTGTCCTATCAGTTTGGCTGTCTCTTATCTAGTACACAGTTTCACCAGTGCATTCAATATAGTATTGTGTATGTACGGTAATGAATGCTGTAAAATGGTAATGGGACTATAGCAAATTACAGCACATATATAGCATATCGTACCTGAATGTCAGGACTGGAGGGAGGGTAATCTGAAATACTTTAATACAGCTTCCTGGATTTAGTATAACTGATCAAATTAGGCCAATTATGGCAGAGGCTGACTCATTGTAAAATAACACAAATCTTTAAGGAAACTTTTTACTTGGGTTTCTGTAAAAAATGTTCTGTAGCAACAGAAGAATAAATAGATTAAATAAGCATTCAAACTGCTTCCTGAGGAACGAGCTTAAGTGAATTTCATGAAAACGGTTACATGGCAAATGCCATAATTTATCGAATGATTTGGTGCCATGTCTTCCTAATCCGATACAGGCCCGACATATTGATTGATACACCCAGAATATTTGTGTAGTACATTTTGTGTATCTAGATTGCTGTTTTTAGCTCTTGAATTAAAATCAGATCTGTAGTAAGTTTACAATTTAAAGCAAATTAGAACACAACTCCCTGAGTACGTTTTTATGTAGCTGTACATTCTGTATTTTTCATCCTGTATTAAAAAAAAATATTTTAATCACATCTTTAAAAAAAAAATTGATTCTGGCATCAAGTGTTGCCTAATGACCCGGACATCCCTCTAGTGGCTCTCTGGTAGAAAGCCACTAGATGTGCAATTAACCCTCAAACTGCAATAATTACCTTTGCTGGGTTAAGGGCCCTGGGACACTTAGTATGGACCGATCCTGCACCAGTGACGCAAGTCACATCACTTGTCCTACCTATAAAGTATTCAGTATATCCTACTTTCTACATCATCACGAGTTTCTCTTTAATGCGGCAATTAATGTAGCAATGTCCAATATGGCTTTATTTCATCACACAGAAGAATGAAAGGACATTACAGCAAGCAGTGTATTTCACGGAGGGACTCTTTAATTACATATTTGTTTTTCTTGGTAGGACATAATGCTCCCTGTCCAAACAGAAGTACATGTCCTTGTAAATTGTCGAAGCAGCCCAGTCAAGAAAATACGAACACCTTCATAAAATGCTACTCTCTCCAAATAAAGGCAAAAATTGTAGAAGTACTTAAGAGATGATGATACTATGTAATTGTATCTATAGTGTAGTTGTAAGGGCACTGAGTACATTAAATAGTCTCCATGTGTTCTCTATCAGTGCAGTTTATTACAGTTCATTCGATTTCTGAATGGTCTGGAGAATAAAATATTTTGCATATAACCACTGCAGGAGGTATGCAAAAACAAACAGGGTGTTCTCATTATAGGTTGCCTCTTCATTTGTTTTTTGTGTGAATAGCAGAGTGCTGTGTTTTACTTTACCTAGCAATTCCTCTTTGAAGATCTGTGCTTATATACATTAGGGGGTGGGTTGTATTTCTTTACCTTTAAAGATGGCTTTTTATTTTTTTTTCATGCAAGTTTTGCTGTGTCCTTGCTCAACCATAATTTTCCTTTCTCTTTTAGTGTCCCCACACATTATACAAACATTTTGTTTTATTATTATTGTTTAAAAACATTCATAGGTCACCTATTTAAATGCCTGAATTGTTTGGCAGAGCCAAATAATAAATACATGTCCTTTTCAGCCAGTCAAAGCCCATGTGATTGTGATAAGTGTTAAAATCCACAGTCTTCAGAACAGGCTGTTTTTTTGTTTGTTTCTTTGATGCAATGGAGTGCAACTATCATTACTCACGCATTACACACTTTCCCCTGGCTGAGAATCATGGGAGTTGCAATCCATAAATATATAAAGCAGTATAATGTAAACCTAAATCCCTAAACCTAACCTGTTAAAACGCTCTGAAGTGTAAGCGCTATGGAATCTGTTGGCGCTATATAAATGCCAATAATTATAATAGTGTGTGATTGCAGCAGGAGAGGGAGATCTCACTCTCATGCTGCATCTCCTGCATGCTCTCACTGACCATCACACAGTTATGGGTGCTGGACAGCAGGCACAGTCTAGTGTTAATCAGGATTGGCAGGGAGACCTGGTCAAAGTCTCCCTCTAAAAGGGGAATGCTGGGGATCAGCACTGGGCTATGTGTGCTGCTCAGCATCGATCACTGTGGCTGAATGTGATAGTTCAGCCTCTGTGATGACAGATGACTCGCGTTGTTTATGCTGGGTCCACTAAATCTGGCCACAGCTGACAAAGGGGTGTGCCAGATATCGATTTATACGTGGATCTCGCCAGTGCCTGCATGGACTTAAACTCTGCAGGCACGAAAATGAAAAGATTTACTGGTAGTGCATGTTCCGGTGCTGTATAGTCACACATACCATATCTGTGTGCCTTTTGTCATAATTTATTTCTTATACTTTGGAGTGATATCATGTAGATTGCTCACCACATATGTAATGCTTTTGGACTTGTTTCTAGCGATTTTACTAGCATTATCTTTGCAGATTGCATATAGCACGAAGTTCTAGGACATAGCTCACTTTAAAAATCACATCAAATGTAGTAAGTATTTGGTTTCATGAAATGGACAATCCAAACGCCATAACCCTTTTTGAAAGAAAAATATTGTTGAAAAATTGCTGCAGTTGTTTGATCACACTCACTGCCTCTCCCTGAGTGTAGAAGATCTTGTAAATCGTTTGCAAGGGTTATCTATAACTTTCTAGTAGTTCCCTGTAAAACAGCTGTTTGAATTTGCGACAGCTGCAGTTAACTTCCCCATATATAAATGAGGTGCACAACTGCTGAACTACAAATCCCACACATCCCTGCTGGACAGGTATATGGGCTATGATTGGCAATCCTATTGAAAACAATGAAAGGCCTAGGATTCTCTGAGAAACTCTGAAACTCTCCCTGGTCTCCACAGTAGTTCATTTGCATATGTCCACATGAATGAAACATGGTTGTGTATCTGACAGTGATCAGGAAATGATTACCTTAAAAATATAATATAATGATACCTTAAGGAACCCCGAAAGTCTGAAATAACATCAATTCCTGTATTGACAACAAAACAAATAGTTTGTATTGTTTCATCCAAGTATTAAGGGCATCCATGCAGTAAAATCGATGTACATAACCTAGAGTTGTAGAATTGGCAAATGACACAAAGATGTTTTAGATGTTTGATCTGAACATATCATCTATCGATGTGTGTGCTTTGTCTCTTCATCTCTCAAAGGCCTTTCTTGACAAGGGTTCATTCAAGGGTTCAAAGATTCTAACATAATCTGCAAACAAAGTCTTTTTTGCTAATTTTTAAATCATTTTGAAAATATGTCCTTTGATTTTCAGGAATACCCCATTTGCATAATAGCTGATGATCTTGTGTTCTCTGACAGGAGTTCCATTTGGAATACGACAAGCTAGAAGAAAGGCCTCATCTGCCATCCACCTTCAATTACAATCCCGCTCAGCAAGCCTTCTAAAGACTTCCCTGTTCATGGGGTATGGCTGTCTCAGCACAATACACAACAAAACTGCAGAACTGATGTGGCTCAGGCATCCTGGTTTTAATTCCTTGAGGATCTGGCAATTGTCTCATGCAAAGGGATCGTCACTTGAGGTCCTGCCTTACTAATTATGTGCTGCCCAACAACTAGAATTGTAGTTTGTTTCTTTAGTTTGAGCAGGGTCTGTATTTTTTTTTTCTTCCTTTGTTTTTGTTATCATTTTATGCCACCAGACACAAATGGATACAGAACACTGACATAAGTTTACCACTTAGTTTCCAAACTGTTCAAAGGAAGAGCGAGAGAGATAGAGAAAAACCTAAAATTAGTCAGCGAAGTTTGCATTGTTCATTGTAGCACTATTTGGTAATAAAAACCCCCCACATGTTTGTGTATTTTTATGTGAAGATCCTTCTCGTATTTCATTTGGAAAGATGGGCCTTCATTTTACTCCCCCCTTCTGTTTTTTTGAACGGCATATTTTTGCCATGTTCAGCTCATTCCCAGCCAAAGGGATCTACAATGCATTGCAGTGCAAAGATTTGCAGGCCCCTCTGACAGAGAAAGCGCTAACACAAAGATTATTCGACTGTTTAAGAGAAAGATATTGCCGCAACCTTTGGACAATTTCCAGAGTTGTGTATTACTGAGCTTCATCTTTCCAGAATGAGCAAAACACTGTCCAGTCTTTGTTACGATTTTGTAATAAATGTGTACATTTTTTTTAAATTTTTGGACATCACATGAATAAAGGTATGTATGTACGAATGTGTATATATTATATATATGACACCTATTTTGGAAATGTTTGCCCTGCTGTACCTCATTTTTAGGAGGTGTGCATGGATGCAATATATGAAAATGGGACATTCTGGAACTGCTGGTCAGGGGACTCCTTTGTGGCCCCCTGTGCACTAAAGGGCCAGATTTTCAGCAGCCAAGGACATCCATACCCAAGTGAACGTGATGGGACTTAAGGAAGTGAACTGAGACAACTCACTCTGGCTGTTTGAAAAGCAGCGTTTCATAGGAAGAAAAAAAATAATAAAAAAAAAAGATCAATCTTGTATTTTCTGACCACATAAAGGCTTCTTCTCTTTGTAATAAAGTAGAAAAGCTCTCCTCACTGCAGTGTTGACTTTGATTTGAGATTGTGAAATCATTTGTGGAATATTGTGAAGGCTGCATCAAGTGTGCCCCCTTAGAGACAAACAAAATCATCTTGCCATATGCCTGGCCTCAAATTTACATGTAAAAGGTTTTCCAAACGTAGTAACTGGTCATCAACAATTTATATATTTAATTTTTCAGCAAGTATGTGTTCGTTTGATGAATGTTTGACCATTTCATTCCTTTTCCACTTAATTATATTTTTTATTTTTTATATTTCATTGAAGATAAAAAAAACCTCACTGTATAGTAAAATGAAAAGAAAAAATAAAGTTCAGTTTATCAGAGAGTTGTAAAACTTGCAAACTTTAAGCTTGTCATTCAAAATAATTTGCTCCCGTGTTGCTCCACTGTAACCACCACACACTTCGTCTGTGTTATTGTACGTCTCCATTGTGTTTTAATTACAGCTGTAATGTCAAAGTTTGGTAAAATAATTGCAAATGTGGTTAAAAATGTGCTTATGGTTTTACTCCTGAATAGAGTTTTTGAAAAGGGATAATTACTTGAATAACAGCAGTTTTTGACCGGGACCTGTACAATTAAACTTCCCCGTCTCTGTTTCTACCAGCACAGAGGTTGTCTTCTTGGTAGATAAACCATTTATGGATCATGATGCCTGGGAGATATGGAAACTGTATAACATTCTGCAAACCACTAGCACATTATATTTATGCACGCCGTGGCAATTCTGTCTAAATTCCAGTTAATCTAATATAACTTATGTCTAAACACAATAGGAATTTGCAAGTGAGATGTTTCCAAAGAAGATATAAATGAGATGTTTATTGCCTGGGGGGTTGCTTTTTGGGGTGGATGCAATTGCAGATGGCTTTTGTCCCAAAGTGGGTAAGATTTAAGAATTGTTCTCTTTCTTAACAAAACCCTAAAGCACTCGGTGTTTGGATGCAGGAGAGCTAGGAAATTGCTAATGGGCATTTTTTAACTTAAAATGTTTTTTTTATATAAATCTTTCTATTTTGGCTATTTTGGTCTAAAATGTTTACATTCCATGTAAGTCCTTAACGATTCCCAGTTAAATGAGGGGGGGCTTTTAGGATATTTTAACGATACTAATACTTCCTCAAGTGCGATACATCTCATGACAATGACATGTTGGCTCAATTGCTTTTGCCACTTTGTCCCCTTATTCCCTAAGCAAAACATGGCAAGGGGATTTTTTAAGAAAATCTATATATTTGCTGGCAGTTTTAAGAGCTTTCATTTTTAAATGGTGTCATGACCGTTGCGTTTTGAGCTGCAATCAGTAGTTTATGAACTCACTTAAGATGTTAAACACTTTGGGAATATAAACAAATGCAGGAGATTCATGTGTGAGTAACTAAACATTTGTTTGCATATTTTTTTTATTGCACAATATGTAATGCATTACAAAGGAGTAAACTCCAGGCTGGCGTATCCTTTGAATCTATGGATTGCAATTGTTTGTGATAATGATTCCATTATTGATAAATAATAAGCTACGAGTCAGGAACCTGGGTTGGAGTCTAAATGCCCCCTTCTCTCTAGGTAATCCAATTTAGGGACCCAGTTTGCAGTCTGCTCACATATTGTGCCTTACTCATTGGGATTTCTGTCAGTAAGGGAAACACTTTGACTCATAAAAGATGTAATGAAGCTTGTTTTTCTTTATAACTTTTCTGGTGGAATGGATTTGAAGAGAACATTGAATGTAGCCAATAAGATGCAGAACTGGGAATAATGTTTGTTATTAAATGTCACAATTCAGCTTTGAAACTGTTTGTTTTGCTATTTTGCCAGGAGAAACTCATTGTTCTTAACTCCATGGTCCCATTCTAACCACTGATCTCATTTGGGGAAGTCGACAAGTATAATGAGGCGAGCACAGTATCAAAATTGATCCACTTTGTCCACTGATATAGACATCCAATCCTTCTTACTGCTGTTTTGACGGGCACACTGAACTGTTGCAATATCTCTATCTTTCATGATATTTAACGCATTGTGTTCTACATCATGGTTCATGGTTGACATTTACTGTTTGAGTTATAGCAAGAATAGTGCCACCATTTTGTGTGTCGTCTTCCCATATCTTTCTCCCTATCTGCTGGTTTTGATAGTGATTTACCATCATTTTCTCACCAGCACTGGTTTATCTTCTTTACACTACCATTTAAATTCTCTCTGTGCCGGTGAATAGATGTTTTCTACAACTCCTTTCTGTCGCACACATTCCAAATTTATTGGAGGATGACGTTTTTTTTTTCTTGTCCATTTTGAAAACCTTATTCTAATGGCCATATATTGTATTCCTTAACCCCTTAAGGACCAAACTTATGGAATAAAAGGGAATCATGACATATCACACATGTTGTGTCCTTAAGGGGTTAAAGGGATACCATAGTGCTAGGAATACAAAGTTGTGGGTTAATAAACCCTTATTGTATTTACCCGATTCCAGCTCAGATGCTGCAATGCTTTCCTATGGGGATTTAACTGTCGCTGGATGTCTTCATGCAGGGTGTAAGGACATACAGAGTCAGGTGACCCAAAGTTCCCTAACAAGCAGGAAGTGCCTCTAGTGGCTGTCTGATTGACAGCCACTAGAGGCAGTCTTAACCCTGCAATGTAATTATAGCAGTTTATCAGTAACTGCAAAAATTGCCAATGCGGGGTTAAAGGACCAGGTTCACTGCACCCAGACCACTTCAATGTGCTAAAGTGGTCTGGGTTCCTATAGTGTCCCTTTAAGAACTACCTAAAAATCACTTGTCACCGGCAGCGTGCAGCTCCATAAGGGAACCACACGCACAGTACACTGGGAGGGGGAGCACTGGGTGTCACGTGACTACCCGACGCTCAGTCTGACACTACGTGCCGCTGGAGACTGAGAGGCCCCCCTCTCCTTCTATGTCAGGTGCGAAATGGCAGGGAGGGTGGGCCATCTATCAATAGGGAATAGCCAGAGCAGGAGGAGTTAGGTATGAATTAAAGGGAGACATAAATGGGAGATATGAATTGAAGTGGCATTACTACTGAGATAGGAAGTAACTTGAAGTGAAGCTTTTGAGTAAATTCTATATATGTACACAGGATTACATATTGTTTCATGGAAATGAGTAAAAGTAAGTAATTTTAGTTTGTGTTGGTCTGGTTGAACATTTTTTTTTTTTTTTTGGTGGCCCACATAAACTTGAGCCTTATTTATTTGGCCCGAGTTAGCCTTTGAGTTTGACATGCTTGGATTACAGTTTGTAACATTGTTTACTTGATACTTTCTCACATGCACTCAAGAATATGTAAGACTTGTATGTATTTTTCTGCATCCAGTATTTGTCCTAAACAAATCCCACAGCCATAAAACTACTATTCTTTGAAAATAGTTGACTGAGTTATAGTTTCTGCTTTTTACTAAGCTAGTTTACTTGAATTGGGAATTATAAACCGTTTTCCCACAGATTGTGCCTTTTTAAAGGGGGTATGTAACCCTTTAAGGACCAAACTTCTGGAATAAAAGGGAATCATAACATGTCATGTGTCCTTAAGGGGTTAAAAGTTATGGACAACATAACTAGATCATGTATTTATGGTAAACACTGAAAATTGCAAACAAGGTATTGTTCTCTGATAGATATTTCTATTTCATCTTTTTTTTATTTTATTATGATACGGTTTGCATTCTGCTTCCTGTATCCAAGTAAGGTATAATTTGTTCAAATAATTCTTCGTCCTAGCCTTTCTCCAAACAGTCTGATTTGATTTTTCACGCTTGTTTTATGAACGCATTTCTGTCCATACAATTTTCCCTCATTCTTAAGATTTGGCCCTTTGGGGTATTGCACAGTCAAGGTGAGAAATGACAATGGTACGTTTGCTGTTGCTATTTAAATCCACTTTTTATTATGTTACAACATTATTGGATTCAGTTCTTCCACATATATAAATGTAAATAATGAAGAAGAAAAAAAGATTCAGAATGGGACTACATTAGTTTCTCTGTTTCATGCCTTAATTTTTGTTGTTGGTGAAAAAAAAAAAAAAAAATGCAATCTACTGATTTGGCAAAATAGATATTTGTGAAATTGTGAAGAGAAAATACTATAATCATTTTTTTATGTAGGATTACTGCCTAATGTAACCACCATTGTCATGTATAATTTAATGACCACTGTCCTTAAATTGTCTTAATTTTAAAAAGTGTAATTGTAACCATGTAACATGTTTTTCTACTTGGAGACCAGAAACCATTAAGGCTATTCTCTAAAGTGAGAATTCAAAGTGAATTTACAGGGAGACTGTAGTCACCAGAACAATTACAGTTTAATGGAGTTGTTCTCTTGTCTATATCAATCACTGCAGTTATTTTCATATAAAAAAAAAAAAAGAAAGGAATATATACAGTGATAGGAGCGGATGAGTGTGGTAGCACAAGATGCTACAGACTACCTGAGTGGAATCCCCTTACACCACTCTAAAAAATACAAACGTACAATAGGTGGATTACACGTCTTGATGTATATAAAAAAGACACAAACTGATATAGTGCAATATTGCCGGTATATATAATCTGTAGATGATATGGAACTCAGGTACTCACAAGCCTCGAGCCAAATCGTGACATATGGCTCTTATGGGTAGCGCAGTGGGACTTTTCGTTAGGATGTCCCAGTCCTTTTTTCAGGTAACCTTGTGGGTTTCTCCAGAGGAGTGAGGTAGAGATGCGCAGGCTAGGTATTTTTTTTATTTATTTTTTTAACAACTTTATTAATCCGGAATATGAATTAAAAAACTGCAAAAAAAAAAATCAAGTGCTAAAAAACAATAAAATCGGTAGCTACCGACTGAAGAAGCCCCTGGCACGGGGCGAAACGCGTTTTGGACACTTTTGGACATTATAGCCAATTAGCAGGACTCTATTCTATAAAGTTCTTTTTTTTTTTTATCCTAACGAAAAGTCCCACTGCACTCACTAACACAGATTTGTGAACAATATTTGAGAGAATAGGCCTTTTGTGTACATAGAAAAAAGTCTTAGATCTTTGTGTTCAGCTCATGAAAAATGGGGGCAAAAACAAGTGTTGCGTTTATAATTTTGTTCAGTGTGTATATACTGAAAACCCCACATTGCACTTCATTTATGCCAGGTAAACATTCTTGCTTGTGAGATCTAATGTGTCAAAAATTCTAAAAGTACGTGTTATTTTATTTAATATAACGTAAATACATTGAATTGTTTTATTACTCTTTTATGAATTCACTATGTCTGTTTTAAAGTGCATTATCTGCAGAAAAACTGGACGCCTTATGCACACACTAGATCCCAGGTATGGAAAAACACACTCTACAGAGCCTACATGCACTATTTAATTACCCCCTACTCCTACCCTCTGTGTCACTATACCCACTCCCTCTAGAATGTAAGCTCATTGAGCAGAGCCCTCAACCCCTCTGTTTCTGTGTGTCCAACTCGTCTGGTTACAATTACGTGTCCATTCGTCCACCCATTGTACAGCGCTATAGAATTTGCTGGCGCTGTATTAATAACAGTATGCACACACTAGATACCGGGTAT